GTGATACTGTGGGTGGATGAGATGTTATAAATAATATTTCTTATCTCTACCGACATATTTTAAAATATTGTTTATCATGGGCCAATGGATAATTCATCAGCGGAAATAGATTATATTATTTCTTAATTAATTATAAAGATATAGTTAAAATCGTTTACAGATGAAATAGTCCAACATCGTTGTTTTTACTGAATCTGTATTCACTGATACGAGGTAGGACGGCGGGACGATTTACCCAATACTACCCAATGCCACTCCAATACCACTCCAATATCACCACATACTACCCAATACTACAACATAATGGTGCCAAATGAGCATATTACTTGATTTTTTTCAAAAATAGTGAGATATATCGTGGGAAATGTACTTCAAATGTGATTACCGATGTCTGGCTGTTCCATTTGCCTCCCTATATCACCCAAATCAAGCAAATAATAACCCAATACTACCAAATACTTATCAAATACTACCAAATACTACCCAATATTATAAAATACAAACCTAATATCAGCAATTAGCAGCACATCAGTATAATAATTGCAACGAATATTCGATAATTTACAGAAAATTGAAATATTTAAGCAGTTATCTCCCTTTACAACTGACAAATAGATTTTAGATTGCTACTCAAATTAATCATCTTGTTGGGCTTTGCAGTTTGTTTCCAAGACGACGAAGTTAAAATAAGGAAACAGGTTATTATAGATGCCTCCGGTATAGTGTTATAAAATAAACATTTGCAGTTTCGTTAATTTTAAAATAAAACATCGTGCAGTCAGTAAATACGCAATAACTTAATAGTTGACACGAAAAAATGAATATAAACATTATGCAATTGTTTTGTTAAAGCATTAATGTTAAAATAGATACAAACAATCGATACTAACTAGGTAATTTCGGGACTAACATATAGTTCAATATTATTTCATTAATTCTGATAATTGCACGATAGTTTACTCGTAATAATGTACCATCTGCAAATGTTAAATAAATTATCATTTAGACATTTATTCACATGACAAGCTCGTAATCTACTCTTTAGACCATCGCCTGGCTTAAATATTGGATTAGTCAATGCACGCCATATCTGCGTTACGTCGATAATATGACCGGCTTCATGGAGATTAAATGGATAATCGAAATTAAGAACTATTAATCGAAAATCGTTGGATTCAAGTCAATTTTGAACATTCATAAGGTCGCTCAGAACAAAGTTATTTGACTGAAATGTTATGCCCTTTTTATAAACAATAGTTTATTTCGTTTGGAAATGGTCTAAGAAACAGGCAAAGCCTATGCTGATTCCTCTCCACAATTTACAAAATAATAGGTATAATTGCTTCTCACGTAAACCAATAGTTTGTCCACGGACATCCGAATGCGGGGAGCATATTAATATGGAATGGTAACAATCTTCAAAATGGTGTCCTCAAATACAGGCGGAACTATCCGGTAAAAGTCTCAGAAACGCATGACCATTTAAATCGCAGCAGCCTAATCTCAATTAATTATGGGATATTATGGACGGTTTTAATCAAGCTTGCAACAATTCATGCGATAGAATTTGAATTTTGTAGTTTGGATCTCAGCGAATTCCATTCTCTGATCATCGACGGAATAAAAGAATTTGAAAAAATATCTGTTCTGCAAAAGTATTCTTTAACTATTTTACTAAGATGATATGGTTATTATTTCTTTAAGATAAGGTTAGAAATTGATTAACTTAAGGAATCTGTCTTCATTGACGCTAAGTTAATGGAACAAATCCTGTTTCTTTATAGAGTTTTGCATGGCATACCCCTAACCGCCCCACCAATGGTTCCTAGTGCATCTAACTGTAAACAGCCATCACAAATTACGTCAGCATAATCAAAATGTGGTAGAATAAAAGAAGTATAATGGTTTTTAATAATTTTCTGTTAAAATCGATATTTTAATGATCTAAAACAATTGATAAGTTTCCGCACTTTATTACAGATATGGTCTATATGGACATCCCATTTGATAATTTAGCCCAGGCTGTTTATGCTCCGGTACATCGGACGGTGTCTAAATACAAATGTTAAACTTGTTTTAGTGGAAAAAGTTATGGTTCGCGTGCGCGTTGGATCATAAGGTCTGTCATTTAGTCAATCAGCGTTGATTTCAATTTCCTGCCTGTACGTGACAAGGAGTAGGATCGCCTGTGCAACCTCGTGGGTTTTCCCCCACTGTTAAAGGTGCGCAAGTGAATAATTATTGAAATAAAACTGAACGATATGTTAGTCCCGAAATAACTTAGTTTGTGTCGAGTGGGCGTTAAATCCCCTCTCTCTCTCTCTCTTTCTCTCTTTCTCTCTCCCTCTCTCTCTCTGGCTCTCTCTTTTTATAGTCTAAAATAATATGGGAAACATTTTAATCAAAAATCTTTAGTAGTGTAGATCGGCATAGAAATAATTTTAATAAACACCTAGCTTTTAGTAGTGTAGAATGAGATGAAACTAATTTAAAACAGCTGGCTTTTATAGTCTAGAATGATAGGCAAATAATATTAATCATCTACCTTTTAGTAGTGGAGATTTGCATAGAAATAATTTTTTTAACACTTACAGCTTTTAGTAGTGTAGAACGAGATGAAAATAGTTTTAAACGACTGACTTTTATAGTCTAGAATGATATGGAAATAATCTTAATCATCCTCCACCCTTTAGTAGTGGAGATTTGCATGAAAATAATTTTAAACACCTAGCTTTTAGTAGCGTAGAACGAGATGAAAATAATTTAAAACGCCTGGCTTTTATAGTCCAATTTCAATCAGCTAGCTTTCTGTTGGGTAGAATGACATTACAAAATAAATTTAATGAATGTTTTTAAACCTAGCTTTTAATAGTGTAAAATAATTTAGTAGCCTTTCTATCACCTGTGTCTATCACCTGCGATATCTCGTATCACATGACACTGATGAAACTTGACCGAAACACACGTCGCGCTTAGAGCAGAGTGGCACTAGACATCTTTTTAAGTTACACTTATTTTAAATGTTTTATCCATTAGCCAATTTAAAGAAATTTCGATTTTCAAAAAATTGATAATACAATTAATGATCAATGATTGAAAACTGACACACAATCCGGGATGGCCCAGACCAATGCTAGATAGAGCGGGAGACCAGGGGGTTAACCTAGCTGAAAAGTGTACCAATTTTCTCCTATATGGTATCAATGTATGTATATCTGGTATCATCAGAATGTAAGTCTGCTGGGTTTCTGGTGGTGGGTGTGGTATTCCATTCCCTAAATGCCTTGACCTCCAACTAGGCTAGATTAGCTCAAAAGTGTACCAAATGAAAATCGTACAGCAGTGTACCGTACATCTTCAGGTATTACAAAAACACTCTGACACACATTTCTAGTGGTGGGGTACCCCTGATAGAGCTATGTAATTGCCAGACATTTGTAGTGATGGAGTATACCAGACAAGAGTTATCTAATTTTCAGACCAAAGCTAGGCTAGATTAGCTCAAATCTGTACCACCTAAAACAGCTTTGGAGTTGTTCAGTACCACGAGAGGAATCATGAATGGCCACTGCCAAACAGATACGCCTAAAATACCACGCCCTCCAACTAGGATAGATTAGCCGGCACTGTTCCCGTGGTCCAAAAATTTAAAAATTGTGCCAGGATGCGTAGATTACTAATACCCAGCACGTATTGAAGAGGCGATATACTGCGGTTGCAGGAACAATTTATTTTTTTCAAAAACGCATTTTTAGCCCCGCAAAACGTTTTTTTTTCTCAAAAATCAATTTCTTGCAACCGCAGTTTATCGCCTCTTCCATACGTGCTAGGTATTAGTATTCTACGCATCCTGGCTAAAAATTTAATTTTTTAAAACACGGGAACAGTGCTTGCGAAGTTAGCCTAGTTGGCGGCGTGGCATTTTGGGGCGTGTCTGTTAGGGGTAACTCACCGCACAAACTGTCTGGCAGCGGTCATTCATGACTCCTGTGGTGGTACTGAACAACTCCAAAGCTGTTTTAGGTGGTACAGATTTGAGTTAATCTAGCCTAGCTTTGGTCTAAATATTAGATAACTCTTGTCAGGGATACTCCACCACTACAAATGTCTGGCAATTACATAGCTCTGTCAGGGGTACCCCACCACTAGAAATGTCTGTCAGAGTGTTTTTGTAATACCTGAAGATGTACGGTACACTGCTGTACGATTTTCATTTGGTACACTTTTGAGCTAATCTAGCCTAGTTGGAGGTCAAGGCATTTAGGGAATGGAATACCACACCCACCACCAGAAACCCAGCAGACTTACATTCTGATGATACCAGATATACATACATTGATACCATATAGGAGAAAATTGGTACACTTTTCAGCTAGGTTGACCCCCTGGGCTCCCGGTCTATAGAAGGCAAAAAGGTTTTATCTCTCAAATTATTATTTAAATTTGATTTTTCACTTTACCCGCCTGCACAAAAAAAAAATTTAAAAGCGTATTAAAATAGCACTTTTATCTGGTGTAACGTTTATTTTCTTATAAATTAGTCTATATAACAATAATGTGCGCTTTTTGTTGTATAATAATAATAATAGTATGTTCAGCTATATTTTTCGTTCAAAAAATGTATGTTTTATCTCCTATAGACTCTTTTCCGCGGAAGTTTATGACATAACTATTCACATCCCTGTCGGAGCTGCCAACGTGGACACAACAATATAATAGGGCATATAAATAGATAGAGTAGGTACAATTACTTGGGACCCAGGCCAAGATGGCGTCTTTGTACACTTGATGTCATATTTTTATGACGTCATATGAAATTTCTCGCTTCACAGTTGTCACAATTTTTTTTATATACGGCTTTGACCTATACTGCATGTGAACTTATGTCAGTCATCTTGCACAGAGTTAAGAGAAGGCTTTCGCATTACCTCTGTGAAACAGAATGCCATTATATACGCCTTTCGTATTTAAAAAAATAACAAAACGAAAAATTGGCTTTATATTTTTACCGTTGTTCATTTTTCATCTCTATACCCCCATATGGCGGTATCATCTTTGTTCGTCCGTATTTTATAATTTCACCAACGACTTACAGGTTTGTGACCCTTGTTTTCAAAACTCATAGATGGACCAGTAAATGTATTACTAGTAATATTGTTGTTATTGATATTTATAAGGTCTATGGCCAGTCTAAAGTGCAGCACCCCTTGCTATTCGACCGTCGTTGGAATGGTTATGATAAGATGTCAATAAACGAATGTTATATCACCTAATTTGTGTTTTATCTGACTGGATATTGCAATGTTCTGCTTCCGTCGAACTGATAAACTGTTCAGATTCACAGGTATCTAGATCATCTATGACTATTTCAAATTGTCGTAAATTCGTATTTTCAATCAACTCTTGTTTAATGTCCTTGTCACCTACAACAACCTGTTCATCTGTAGATGAATGAAGTACTACGGATTTCTTCACCAGTCTTATCGCAAAACCCATAGATGACGCCAATAATAACACTAGAGCTAGAAAAAAAAAGATATTTCTGAGATGGATAATACATTAGATTCATATCAGAGAAAGGATAGGGGGTGCTGATACTGATATAATTACATATGATGTATTATTTCGATAGCATAAATGTGGAAGCCTCGAAGAACTATTTTGAGCCAAGACTTTATAGTAGCTTTGTTGTATTTGAACGAACTTCAGAATTCTGCATACCAATACAATAATGTACTGCATTAATTAGTCACTCTTCGAAGTAATGGAAATACTTACCAGCACAAACAAATACTAAATACTCATCATTAAAGTTCAGTGCCATTAATTCTGTTGAAGGAAAAGTATACATTTAGAACCACCGACAATTTGTATTGGCAAGGAGTAAAACATAGTTTTAATATATAAATGATTTGATAACCATAATTCTGACCCACAACCAAGTTTATCATATATAATATTCTTAGGCGACTCCAGATAACACATACGCACCATAGATAACACATACACCAAAAACCAACCCAGTTTTACCATTTTTGTTTTCTAAGTTCACACAGTTAAAGATGCATTATGCAAGAGCCTATTGAATATCTTTCTTTGGGTCTCAAATGTTATATAAATTATTAGTTAGACAATGCTGTTCTTCAAATAGTCATAACTTTGTTTAGAATGAAGTACTTTGAAATTATTAAATATATTACTTTTCATTATCTATCTGAATAAAATTGTAGTGAGAACTGTCAACTCTTTATCTAAATCTTGCATAATGCATGTTTAACAAGTTCTATAGATTGGAATATTTGTTTTCCGTTGGGTGAATTGCCAAAATGGCCAAATGCCAAAGAATGCGTTTTTTCGATCGAGATTGAAGGTGTAGTTAAGATTCAGAAATGTGCGTTCTGGCTGAATGGTTTATAGATAAAAACTTGTTCAGTGGGGCGCTTATGTGGCTGGACCACCGTTTTTTAATTTCCTGTTCTTGTTAGAAAACTTGATTTAAATTCCCATAAAGGATGATTCACATATCAATAATCACTTTGTATACACCCACGGCGTGGTGTGGACGTATATTGCGATCGAGTATGTGCGTCCATCGGTCCACAAATGCTTGTCAGCTCCCCACACTCATATATTTATTATATGGACCAGTAGTAATAGGATTCCTATCTATTATGGTTTGTATCCGATCCTTTTCACCAAGAAACGACACTGATGGTAGCCAAATTTGCTTTCCCTCACTTTATTAATAGGTTCTTTTCAATTTTATCTTGCAGGTCAAAGCCAATACAAAGCTTTTTTCACTGTGATACCGCACCGAAATTATTTGATGTTCGACTTGCATTCACTCTACTGGCTACATTTGTTCCTGGACTGTTTTCAATTTTATTTTCTAGGCCTCTATCGATTTTGACGTTGATCGGATATTATTTTTGTTCCAGTAAATAAGGACGTTCACTTCAGATTTTTAACAAAGTCTTCAGTCTCAATCAAGCATTTTTGGCATTTGACCTTTTCTGTAACTTCACAAAATGAATCCCCCTTAAGCAACGCTATTAGTATAGGTTAGAAAGTGTGTGGACGGTATGTGATATGTGTAACGCATTTCTAAGATACTTTCTATTTATCAAAGTGTTTAAAATATTAACAATAGGAATTCTACTTTTTAGGTAAATGTATCTTATTTCTACAGCCTTTGGTGCATTGGCGAAATTATGTTCTTACTTCAATGGGAATAATATATTTTTAATAACTTACGGTTTACGGCAACATTTCCATGTGGGTGTATACAAAGTAATTGTCTTGTAATTTATACTATTTTCTTTCACTTACCCAATAAAGGTGGCCCTATCAAATAACCAATGCCACTCATCAACATATTTATACCATAACCTGTCGATAATTTAGATAAACCAACAATTTCAACTAATATAGCATGTTGTAGAGTCCAGCAACCACCCGTATAAAGGCCAAATATAATTGAATAAGCTATCTTGCTACCCACAGATGTCACTTTATTCAAAAATAACGTTATCATTCCTATAATTCCAAATGTACTTCCGTACAAAAGTGTTGCATCTGTCGTGTTGGTCAGGAATCCAAGTAAAATCCTAGAAATAAATCCGCCAAATCCCATAAAAGATAAACTAAATGCTATCTCCTGAGTTGCAGAACCTGATTGTTTGAAGAAGTGGGGAAGAAAAAGATAAACTGTGGACAAACCGACACCAAATGCCACTGAACTAACCAAAAGGAACATATACGGTAAAGATAATAATGAACCCAATTTAGATGAAACTTTGATCTTTTCAGTCGACGTTCCGTTGGAATCTTTACAATTTGGACAAAACTTTGATTTGATTTCAAATTGTGTTGGTCGCATCAATGCTCCACAGATTACAGAATGAAATCCAATAGCACCTAGTAGGAGAAATGTTTCTTGTAAAGTATAAGTGTCTATAAGATACTGAGTAAGCGGAGGAAACACAAATAATGATACCCCAGCACTGCTGGTCACAATTCCCGTAGCCATTCCTGTTCTCTCCTTAAAGTAATATCCCGCAACAACCATAGATCCAGTCAAGGCCATAGCTTGTCCACAACCTGTAATATAAATTAAGACAATGCAAATCAATCAATTCGAAATATAAAAACAAAGACGAATGATCTGAGAATGTTACCGGATCTACCTGCACCGATGTGAGAGTGTCGTGTTCTATCGGAACTGTTGTCAATGTTTTAGAGAAGGGCCACAGAAAACCCCAGAAAACAACACACTAACACTATAAGCCCTACGAAAGATATAAAATAAAGTGAATGCACCAGGAAACGGTAATAAGAGACACTGTATTTGTAAATGAAATAAAATTAAATGAAATAGGGTTTAACGTCCTACTGTTCTGCTCCGAACTGGGCTAATGAAGACGGGCATACGCCATACAGTGTGCTATGAAGGAAATTTTGCCAGGACAGCGGCACTATGGCCTACTCTTATATCAAATTCCAACTGTCAAGGGATCTTTAACGTGCACGCCTGTGTATACGGGACCTTGGTTTTTCGTCCCATCCGAACGACTAGACAGCTGTCCTTGTCAGGCCCCATCCTGCATCACTGACAACGGGGAACCACGTCGGAAAATCTGAATAAACTTTATCGGCCAATGCAGAGATCGAACACACGACCTCCAGGCTAGCGAGCCAGCACCTTACCCACTTAGCCACCGTGACACCCCAAGGAAACAAAAATGAAGGCAACTTATTCATGCTGTATTTTACAACACAAATAGTCGTTAATGGTTGCATACTGACTAAAATATACTTAGACATTTCTTCTAAAAGGCGCATCCGTGTTAGATACTTGTCTAAATGAATATTATTGATGTTAGTGTGTATTCTGCAAGACAATCTGTATTTTATCGTCGGAAGCACCGGCCCAGTAGCAAAATAACTTTTCTACTTCCCTTCTATCTGATTGATAAATTCAATAAATATTACTATTTGTACCTGCTATTAACCCAAATGTTATGAATAAATGTTTTACGTCTGTTACTAAACTGCTCAAACCAAAACCAGCCAAACTCATCAGTCCACTTAGTATAACACAAGTTCGAACATTGAAGATATTGATAACAGTACTACCAATAAACCCTGAAATTATTATAATATGATGGTGTGTAACGATAAAACTAATTGATTCTAAATTTATATAAAATTTTAATATAAAACCATATCAGGTAGAACTAATTCCCGGACTCTAAAATTATAACAACAGGACTTCTGAGTCCCGAAATGAAACTGCTAATCTAGTCTGAGTTCACTAATTTTAACATTTTAAAATAAATTAACCAAACCTATGGGGACCATAAAGAAAATAAATTTTGACATTTTAAAACCAAACCTAGCTAATCTTCAAAGAAGATTCATTTCGGGGAATAAAAAGAAATAAATTGGTAAAAAATAAAACAAGATTCTAGAACTCGTAATTTTGCAAAAAAATAAGTTGCGACAAAAAAAAAACACATCTGATTTGCTATTGTGTTTTACAAATAAGACAGAACTATCAATACACATGCATGGATGATGATTCGTGGACTTTTATTTGTGGAGGTAGGTGCCCAATTTGCTGAGAAATATTGACGGGTTACAACCATAAGAATCATAATTAATCATAATTAATACCTAAGAGGTCCAATATTAGAATGTTATTCATTAAAACATACCCAACAAGGCAAACGCGCATGAAAATAGAGATCCTAGCCAAGCTATTGTATTGACATTTTCTTCTGGATACGTCTCTAACAATGCTATATGAATGACCCCTACAGAGTATGAAAGGGAACCATTTAAAAACATGTTCATAAATGCTGCAAATAACACAACCCATGCCCAGGGTTCAATGGTGGCCATCCTGAAATATTCAAATGGTGAATAGCATTAAGTTAAATGTCAAAACTGTTTGGCAGTAGTTACCTTACAGATACAAATTGTGAATGTAAATAAATGGTTTCAGTCAGGTTATTATTTATTCTTTTACTATTAATTCATTATAGAGAGTTCTACTCACGATGCACAGCTGACGGTTAACTGAATGGTATTGTGATTTCAGGACGATTCACTGAGTTTATCAATCGATATTTCACAATAAATCAACTGGCACAACCCATCCTGATGTGCACAGTTTCTCATATCTATAAATGTTTACTACTTGGTGAAAAATCGATATCGTACTGGCGTTGTCAAGCCAGGCTGGCTGGATCACGGCAGGTCAAAACATACTCCCTAGGCTAATGTGCCTGCGCTGAATGGAAAGAACAATGTACACGACAACAGGTTCGTCCGAGATTTTACAACTCAAAGAATTTTTTAGCGTGGTTTTTGCCATGTCAGTGAACCAGAACGTGTGCAACAAAGCAAGAGATATTTTATTATATATATATAAATTACAATCCGCATATATCATCCAGATAGATGATTAAACTCTATTGACCAAATGTAAATATTACATTATAGAGATTCGTTTAACCACCACACATTTGATATGCATACCGAACTGGTATGCCATACCGAGCATATGAATTCTTCCATACGATATGATGCATATATGAATATAAACTCATAGCAGAAGAGGAAGAAAGCTGAGATTCGACAGACATCTACTAAGAAGTAGACCCCTCCTGGCCTGGCTTTGTAACTACGCACCTGTATGGCAATGTATATCACTTTGTATGTTTAAATTACGTTCCTAATAATAAACCTATTATACCCGATGTAGATCTTGTTTTCCTGTGAATAGAATTCCCAGTTCCACTTTTAAACTACTAGTATAATGCACGCACAATTTTACACGTGCTAGACCGACGTACCGTGTACACTAGTAAAAGATCACTTTACAGTTGGAATTCACCATACAACATACATACTACATGGCGTATGCCTTACTTCAGTAGTCAGGTTGGCGCATAAAAGTAGGACGTTAAACCCCATTTAATTTCTTAAAATACGATACTAGATTAAAGCAAAGAGAAACTTATTATAACCGTTAATTAAAAGCTTTCGGTATATAGTATGGTTAAGAGACATGAAACTAAAATACAGGAATAAACCAAAAGAATCACCATTAGGCCAAAAATAAATCAATGTGTTCCCGGTTTTGGGGGGTCAGATTGGATATAAATAACGGCACTAATAAACTAAGTTTTGCATAAACTAAATTGATACGTCCAACCTTTGTCAGGTCATTTTAAATACTGTAAAGTGTTTATTATTCATTTCCAGAGCTACGTAGTAAGTTTTTGGAACATAATGCCAATTCAGAATTTTATAAATACCGACATATAACAGAAAATAACCCTACGACCGAATTATAGTGCCTAGGAAATGAGTCGGGTAACCGTAAACACATGTATTTTTTGTTGGCCTTATAATAAGCCAAGCATGGCGTAAATTTTAGTACATTTTCAATTGGGTGATAAGAAAATGTAGACAATTCTATCTAAATCCAGAACTGATTTTTTTATATCTCTGTGGTTTTATGCGTTTGTTTAAGAACCAAATTAATTACTGGATAGCTGTGTACACCTACCTGTAAGCCTCGACACCAATTACTGCCTACGGATTTAGCCTCTCTACCATCAAACGTTAGTTCAGTTCAGTTAACATTTAGCCAGGCTTGAGTGCCTCCGAGCAATTAGCCTCGTTTGTATGTGTACTAGAATGTATGTTAGATTAAGGTTAACGCCTGGCATAACCTATCATTTTACATGAATCAGGTCAAACACATCGGCATGCAATTTGTTATACTATATTAGTTGTTTTCTGTATTTTTATGATGTGTGTGTGTGTGTGGGTGTGTGTGGGTGTGGGTGTGTGTGTGTGTGAACCTTCGCTGCCAGGCATTGGGTATACGCCCACATATCAACAGCATATTAAACGGTCGCGTGATGCAATAAATAAGTAAAAATTGCGTTTACAGTAACTTTTTGAAAAATCGTTGTACGACTCTGAATTTCGCGTTTAACTTAGTAACTTTTTGAAAAATCGTTGTACGACTCTGAATTTCAATTGCGTTCCTCCGTAGGATTTTAACCAAGTTCTCGCGAATACTGGCCTGTAAAATAAAGGAGGGAGTAATTTTATCTCCATGTACTATCCATGAAACTCGTCAGCTAAATTCTGTTTCAAAAACCTGAAATTGTTTTGACTTCTAGAATTACTTAATTATCAATAGGGTTCCAAACAAGTTTGAAAGAGAATATAACAAAACTCTGAACTGTAGAATATATAAATGTTTCTTGACATGAACAGTAACATCGACCCTGAATTTGGAGTGGCCCCTCGTTGAACAGTCCAAGTAAGTACAAATTTTGTCCAATTAAAATTATTTACCCCTATATTTACTTATTAATATCTCCAATGTTAATTAATGCCAATTATCAGTGATCTCACTAATCCTTCATATATGTACCTTGCCTTTGATCGCATTGTTTTCATGCCTTTGATCTTGTTGTTGTCATGCATAGTTTCTGATTTGTTGTTATTGCTTGTCTACATAATTGCCCTACACATGGGTTACTTTTCTTGCTTGAAAATGTTGAGAGAATACTCTTCGAAACGTCGCTTAAAGGGACTATTCCGAGTTGAACAGAGTCTCAAAAAGAAAAGTCTGAGTATGTATGAAATTTAAGCGCAAAAATACAGAGGAATGGTGTATTTATCGTGTCTCGAAATTTCAGTTCAAAATATTGAGTCATTTGAACGTGAACGTCAAAAATGGTTATCCGGACACGTAACCCTTTTAAGATTTCGGGTCAAATTTTTCGTTGAATGAATTGATAATGATTCCCGTTCTTTTAGAGGTCTATACAGCGAATAACTCATGTGCTGTACTTGATAACAAAAGGTAAATTTCACCTCACATAATTTTTATAAAATAAAAGTCTGGTTTTATCCAGTCACTGCATAATATAGCTTGGGACACCGGTCTCCATTTTCAGATGAAGACTGACGGCTTAAGTTGTTTGAAAACATATCACAAATATTGAGTTAGTTGCACGGCCATTAGGTAGAGAATTTTAAGGGATTATAACACACAATTAAGCAGTTTTATTCTCCAACATATCATTGGGATTGGCCCGTTAAATAAATCAGTAATTGTTCTTCCATAAGTATGTGTTATAGTTTATTACAAAATGTTACAAGAATTGTTGACGAGCGACCAAATGTGATGACAATATACCCCCTAGTGACATTTAGGCGTTTAAAAAGCAATAGAATGGATAGCACGTTTGAATGAGCGGTAACTATTCCAACACTTTAGAAAGAGATCTGACCTTTAGAGCAATTACAAACTGCGATGGTGGGGGCTCTGAATATAGATAGTTATTATTTCTAGCAAGTTTGGAAAACATATTTCAAAAACCTACTCGTAGAGTTATTACAAGTGGATGGTCGGGTAAGGACGACGACAATATACGACTGCATCAGCATAAATTTGGAGTTGGAGTTGAATCATGGTTTGTCATAACGATTAATAAAACAGATCGTTTTCCGGAATTGAGGAGCAAGGGGTGTTATTTAAATTTTCAATAGTAAAACGTTGATAAATTCAATAAACACTTGCCGCACCTTATCATTAGCAAAATGAAATAATCAAATAAACTATTACTTTTTTATTGATGATGATGATGATGATGATGATAAAAATGATGCTTGAACAAATCCGAGTAATCACAGCGACATGTCTGCCCAATTCAGTTGCTTCCACTGTGTGGTCACGGTGTCCCCTTTGCCTCACCGTTATGCAGATTTGGAAATATTTTTAGGGTAACGTGAATAATTACTATCCAAGCATTCCGCCAAGCAGTTTAATTCATCAAGTACGAACCTGTTGGGATATAAAATCATCGATGGAGAGGGGTTATCACATAGACATCTTAGGCCAGCAAAGGAGCCATGCTGTCAAAATATTAATACTGTTAAGCCTTTGTTACTGAGAGAGAGAGAGAGAGAGAGAGAGAGAGTTTAACGTCCACTCGACACAAACTAGGTCATTTCGGGACAAACATATGGTTTAATTTTATTTCAATAATTAGTTTGCGCGTAGGGGTCTTTAGCAGTGGGAGGAAACCGGAGGACACAAACTAGGTCATTTCGGGACTAACATATGGTTTAATTTTATTTCAATAATTAGTTTTCGCGTAGGGGTCTTTAGCAGTGGGAGGAAACCGGAGGACCCGGAGAAAACCCACGAGGTTGGACAGGCGACCCTACTCCTTGTCACGTACAACCGGGGATTCGAAACCACGCCAGTTGACTCAATGACAGGACTTATGATACAGCGCGCGCACGTGCTAACCATTCGGCCATCCACCCCCCCACCCCCCCACCCCCCCCACACCCATCGTTACTGAAGTATTGAACTGAATGGTGCTTTACCATGACACAGATAATGTGCTTTTATAAACTGGTAATAGAAAATAACAATAAACGTGTATTTCAGAATTATTTCGATGTTGCATTGTTAAGATATTAAAATTTACTTTGTCTGAAGAGAAATAACTGCTAAACTGTTGTCAAAGTTAAATATCTTTGTGCAAGTATAATCCATAATGTATGATATTATTGACATACAATAAAACAATTAAAGTGCAGCAGATGCCGGGGGCATGAAAAGACCGCCTTCTCGCTCTATTCGCTCAAGGTAATAATGGTAGTTACACAGAATGCTTGTGCCACTAAACGAATGGTATATAACTTAATGTATTGTTTATAGTTCTGTTTCGGTCCAACTGATAAGCTGTTCAGCTTCACGGGTATCTATGGTACTTTCAAATTGTCGTAAATTTGTACTTTCAATCAACTCTTGTTTAATGTCGGTGTCTCGTGCCACCCGTTCATCTGTAAATGATTGTGATGATATAGATTTCTTCACCACCAATCGTATTGCAAATCCCGTTAATGACGTCAAAAATAACATCACAGCTGGAGAAAAAAAGACAGTTATGCGATGTAAGCATACTAATCGTTATTTAACCATTTATTTACAGTCAATGACATTGGCCTGACTTCATCTATTATTTCGTTGATAAAATCTGGATTTTAGTCGATTTGACTGATTTACTAATTACCGTCAACCTACTCTCGTGATCTTGGGCTGGTACGATAATTTTTCTGCCAGATGTTTACAAGAGAGGAATGCGTTAGAAAGTATTAAAACGTGTGCTTTAAAGGGTTTGTATTATCCCCAGTTTGATTAGGTATGATTGTGACATAGTATTTTTTGGGTATTCGTTTTGCTGTCTTGATAAAAAAAAAAGCATTCGACATTTTCTGTATCGAGAGTTTCATTGGAGGAATGTTCTGAAGTCAACCAACCCCATTCCGCTAATTACCAAACATGCTCAAGAAAGCATGTCTTTAGTCCAAGATAAAGTGGAAAGATAGGTTGCCAGGCAACGAAACATACACCCACAGCAGCTAAGTCGATCGGACAGTCAACAATGGTTGTCGCATATTTTTTTTTCTTTTGTCGGTAATGGAACATTTACAATACACTAAAATCTGATTAAGAGTAACAACTCATTAAACATGCATTATGCAAGAGCTAAATCTGCCTATTGCAGGTCTTTCTTTAGGCCTGAAATGTTTTCTAAAGTATTAATTAGACATTAATTAACTGATCCAGGCCTTAATCAACTCTCGATGGCATCATATTCCTCCGATATTAAATAGATTAGAATGGTTCAGCGATACTTTGATTTAATCAAATATGGAGCACCGAGACTTAGCTTCGATCAACCAGTACGGTGGTTGAAATTATTGCACACGTCATCTGTCAAACCTTCAAAGGCTAATATCTTCGCTTGCAATAGAGTAATTTGAATGAAATTTTCAAATTATTCATTTTACATCATCTACTTTCGAACTATTATAGCAAGAATGGCTAGTTCTTTATCTAAATCTTGCATAATGTATCTTTAAGAAATTATCAGAAATCATTAGAACCTGTTTGGCTTCTATGCTAACGTTTAGTATACAAAACATTTAATATCATGGATTTAGCTGTTCAAGTTATCAAAAACAATTAAAAATCAATCTAATATCCTTGTTCATCTCAAGACATTAAATTTTGACCTGTAGAGTATCTACTAGGTTTTTCGAAGTAATCAAGGGCCATAACTCTGACAGTAATTATCAGAATTCCTTGAAAATCAATAGGATTCTTTGTTTCATAACCTTAAACACCCTGTATCAATTTAAAGTCAATTGTGGACGTTGGGCGGACTGGGGCGACGACAATATACCACCACATTGCAATGTGGGCGTATAAAAAAATCAACAAAACGGAAAGAAATGTTGAATCATTTAATTAGACCGTTCCAATCCTGTAATATACTGCATTAATTAGGTGGGTATTTTTTCAGGTGATAGAAATATACTTACCAGCACAAACAAATACATAATATTCATCATTAAATGACATTACCATTAATTCTGAAAAAAGAAGTGTATATATTTGAACCATGGATAAGGTTCACAAAAACGAAACAATGGTCTTAACTCAAGGAGTAATTAACGGAACATGGCTTCTTCTTTTTACTAATTTAAATATTGCATATAGATTTAATACAGATTGGATGATAACTTTAGTCGGTGGATCGTTCACAAGGTTCATAACCCTAGAAGCAATTGGCGGAAATTCACTATGTAAACAAATATATTTCAGAAGGATCGAATAATAAATGTAGTCTGTAGATTCATCACAAGAAATTGCAGACGGGGGCGACGACAATATACGACCACATTTCTATGTGGGCGTATAAAACGTAATTTGTATTATTTCGTTTCTCTTACCCAATAAAGGTGGTCCCGTAAGATAACCAATGCCACACAATAACATATTTATACCATAACCTGTCGATAATTTAGATAAACCAACAATTTCAACTAATATAGCATGTTGTAGAGTCCAGCAACCACCCGTATAAAGGCCAAATATAGTTGAATAAGCTATCCTGCTCCCTACAGATGCCAAGTTATTCAAAAATAATGTTGCAATTCCTACAATACCAAATGTGCTTCCCAGCAAAATTGTTGCATCCGTCGAATTGGTCAGAAATCCAAGTAAAATCCTAGAAATGAATCCCCCAACTCCCATAAAAGATAAACTAACCCCAATCTCCTTAGGCGAAGAACCTGATTGTTTGAAAAAGTGGGGAAGAAAAAGATAAACTGTGGACAAGGCAGCACCCAACGCAGTCGAACTAATCAAAAGGAGCATATATGGTAAAGATATTAATGAACCAAATTTAGATGAAACCTTCATTTTTTCAGCAGACGTTCTTTTGGCATCTTTACGAATTGTACAAAAATTTGATTTGATTTCAAATTGTGTTGGTCGCATCAATGCTCCACAGATTACAGAATGAAACCCAATAGCACCTAGTAGGAGAAATGTTTCTTGTAAAGTATAAGTGTCTATTAGATACTGGGTTAGATGGGGAAATACAAATAAGGATACACCAGAACCGCTGGTCACAATTCCCGTAGCCATTCCTGTTCTTTCTTTAAAGTAGTATCCTGCAACAACCATAGACCCAGTCAATGCCATAGCTTGTCCACATCCTGAAATATAAGTAAAACAATACAATTCCTTCAGTTAATTCACAAATTAGGACCACTTAGAGGGAAATGTCTCAACATGACTTTTAGATAGATCTACATTTCTACGCACAGAAAAAGTATGATAGTAATCGGGATCTAGTACTTGCAATGAACCCAAGCTTCTTTAAAGCATTATTGAGTAATTTAACAATGGTCTGAAAATAACCCCGGTTTGTCATTAAATAGTATGAACAAAACAATATTGTCGCCAATGATATAGAAAGAGAAAACATTCCCTGTCTCGTTCAGGATATTTACTTGTAGCAATGGTTTGGACTTGGGATTTCACAGACCTTGGCTACTGGGCAGAATACAGCACCCCTTCTCTACACTTGTCCAGTTAGTGATTTAAAAAAAAAGGTTTGTTATCCGTTACAGTACCCACTATGATCATTGACAGCAGGAGAAAATATTTACATATGTTACAAGCTATCACACCTTTTCTGAAATTAGACATGTATATCTATGTAAAAGTCAGTGATACTTGTCCCTCTGAATTGGTCAATGTTTTGACCCGGAACACATATCATTACAGTGTACATGTATATATCTATTGCCGACCGAGATTAACATATTCATACCTGCTATTAAACCAAATGTTAAGAATAAAAATTTAAAGTCTGTTACTAAACTGCTTAAACCAAAACCAACCAAACTCATCAGTCCACTTAGTACAACACAAGTTCGAACATTGAATAGATTGATAACAATACTACCAACAAATCCTGAAATAATTAAATATGATGGGATGTAAAACTAACTGATGCACAGATTATCTAACATACACTGGAAGCAAAAGGTAAACCTAATCTTGGTACCCTGAAATTTGAATATATGATATACAATAGAACACGATCTTAAAATATCAAATATAAGTAAACTAAACTTATCTTCAAATAACAAATTCACGGGAAGCATATTTGTCGGAACGCTAGTCTCCTAGTTTATTACAACATTTTGAAATAAATTTTATAAGTAAATCATATCTACTCCATAGTTTAAGATCGATTATAAACTATGGATAAATGTGAGAGGGAAAATTGCTCTGCAAATTGCTTTCAAAATTTAGGATATTTCATGGCGTGAAGCGTCGTGATCATTTGAGGACAAAACCCTATCAATTTTCACTGTTCCGAGACTTTTCGATCTGGAGTTATGTCCCTTTTCCCGAAAACCTTATGAAGACGATAGAGGCTACAGTTTTAGACGGACTCGTTTCAAATTTGGCATAAAGCATCGAGGTCATGGGAGTACGAACCCTATCGATATTCAACGTTGTGCAAACTTTCGTACCAGAGATATTCCCCCGTTTCCAAAATCATGGTGAACACGATAGAGGCTATAGTTTTAACAGATTTTTTTGGTAGGAAGCATTGTGGTCTATTGATATTCAGTGCACCCAGACATTCCGTTCCGAAGATATTCCCCCATTTGCCGAAAAACCCGTGGACACGATAGAGGCCGTAGTCTTTAACGTATGTTTTTATGTAAATTCAAATTATTTTACAGCATTATCACCCTTTTCCGAAAACACTGTAAAGGCGATAGAGGCTATATTTTTCAACGGATTTTTTTTTCAAATTTATGGGAAACATTGGAGTCATGAGGGGATGAACCTTTACGTTCACGGGTCACGTTGGACAGGCCAAAGGGTGGGAGTGACGACAATATACGCTCAAAACAAAATGACCACAAAGCATTACCACTCGCAACTTACGTTAACAATCGAAAATTACTATCTTACACTTTAAAACATACCCGATAAGGCAAACATGCTAGAAAATAGAGATCCCAGCCATGTTATTGTATTTTCATTTTCTTCCGGAAATCTCTTTAACATGGCTATATGAATGACCCCTACAGAGTAGGAAAGGGAACCATTCAAAAACACGTTCATAAATGCTGCAACTAACACAACCCATGCCCAGAGTTCAGTGGTGGCCATACTGAAATATTTAAATGATGAATATAATTAACTTAAATGTCAAAACTGTTTGATTTCGTATACAAACCGTGTGGAGTCTTCATCAATCCCTTAAATTGCATAAAACCAGTGACCCCGGAGATTATTACATTGATGTCTGTTGTTACTTACGCTGCTGATTAACCAACCGGTAACCCCATCATTAATTTGCCCCTGACATTCATGGCTTATTGCCCACGTGTCTTCTGCAATGGAAGTACAAAATATTAGCGCTCAGTTCTATACGATGTTTAAAGTACATTAAAGTGAAGTACCTTACGCACAGACTGAAACATAATAGATGCCCATTGTGTTTGGTACTATGAGGATGGAAAACTGTTTCTTTGAAAGGTGCTGATAATCAATTCTTGACCGTTCTATATATGAAAACAGGGAACCAAATGTATACATGACTAATGCTTTTCACTTGGATCCCGCCCTCACTGGTAAATATGCTTATTTACACATGCAGATATTAATAATAGTGCAAATATTGTACCGAATGCTAGCTGATTGTTGCATCTGCGTTACACAATGCTATCAATAGTTTAGTCATAATAACCAAATACCAATACACAATTTACTGGTTGAAATAAGGCACGGTCACATGACATTGTACTGTCTCCAATGTCGCACACCACAATCAGAAGGGGTCGAATTGAAAATAACATAATAAACTGTAAAACAAATTAGTGATACGTAATATCGAATGACCAGTACTGTAATTGCTAGTGGTGTAAAAGTAACAATGGCCCTGCTGGTCTTCCATAGTTAACGAGCCGTCTACGATTTTTAGATGCAAACAATACTGTGCTCAGTATAAAATAGCCACTGACTAAAAAGAATTCCGAATATGAATGGATACAGAGCTACAACATCTTTCTATCCATAGGGAATTCCGATTGTATTTAGAATTCAAAACGTTACGCTTTATTTCCATTACATGTTCTAACATATATTTTAATTGCCATGTTACGTAATGTAACGTACATATCTTTTAACATGTGACAGCTGGACTGTGGATCGGTCATTAATCCCCTTATAATGTATATTATTATGTGGATACGAACTAGCGTGCTAACCATATTACAACCGGGTTATATACAGTAAATTCCAGTATTGATTATGTACGTAGAAAATGGCGACTGGGCTTCCTCAATCGAAGAATTTTATGTAATCCGGCGGTATCTCAGTATATTGGACACGTGTTGAAGTGAAACAGTATTGCGGTATGAGAGAAATTGTCATCTTGTTTTTATATTTTTGTAAATAATTGAAGTAGGTAACCGATTCTTACCTGTACGCTTTGTCGACAGTTCTTAAACCACGAATTATTCCTCGAGACCAGCCTGCGTTAGTTCACTGGTAGCTTTAACAAAGCGTCTGGGTGATATAACATTATAATTATGGTGTAACTAATTTTTTACCGGTCGTATCAGTAGACTATTTTGAAATGTATATTTTGAGTTGAGCAAATAACGCCTGTCACTCCCCTGATCAAATAGATATATTACATTTTGAATTAATTTGATAATGCATGGCTGTTTACAATTGCATTTGGTATATACTAGTAGAATTAAGTCTTTGTCGTGCAAAGCTTGACCTGTTCGGGATGTTTAAAAAAGAAAACTTACTGTTATGTTTTTTTAATTTTCTCATGACATACGTAACCTCACATTTGGGTGTTGTGTAAATATGACATAGTCTATGGCCTATATTTTGTTTCCCTTGCTGAGTTCTATGCACAATTGGAATATCTTGTGATTAAACACTACAGTGAACAAGTGTGAGGGTAAGATTTAGCTGTATAAAATACATATCGTTTTTTTAATATAGATTGGCACTACTCCATATTTAAAATCTAATTCGGTTCCCTCAACCGCAGAAAAATATATTATCGATCTACAACGATAGTTGTTTCCATATAATCCGACAAACAATGAAACTGTATATATGTATACCGGACTGTGGGGATGTTTTGTATGCATTGTTTGATTCTTCAGGAGTAGGGTCGCCTGTCCAACTTCGTGGGTTTTCTACGGGTCCTCTGGTTTCCTCCCACTGCTAAAGACCCCCACGCGTAAGCGAATTATGGAAATAAAATAAAATTGAACCATATGTTAGTCCCGAAATGACCTGGTTTGTGTCGAGTGGACGTTAAACCCCATCTCTCTCTCTCTCTCTCTCTCTCTCTCTCTCTCTCTCTCTCTCTCTGTTTGATTCTTCCAATATTTCTTCACACCATAGACTGAAATAAGATTTGGTTTTCACGAGACTTGGGTGATGCTTATTTCGATTTGTTCAATTAATGTCACTCGATATGATCGATATCTTTTACTTCTTCCCTTACGTCGCTTTCAGTCAAATTTAGAGAATCTGCTGTGTCCAATAGTAACGCCATAAAGGGACAAATATAGCAAGGGGAAGATAACCTGTAGCCGCGGGAATTGTATTTAGTATTTGTTATTAGTATATAATTGATACTCTGTAAAACCAAAATTGACATATATATTTGCTGGGATTATGGACCTGTAGTTGATGAAACCAGTCGTGCTTAATTAAAAGTGACTTGGTAATCGAACATATCTCGCGTAGCAACACGGGATCGTGAAATGAAATAAGGCCACTTTTCCAAAATTATCTATTATTGGACCTAATATTGATGACAGCGACACATTTGTCATCTCAGTTATGTTATATTAAGACGTGACCTTGTGTCTGGGTCGGATGATGTCCATGAAACACGATTGTGAATAGTTTGAAGTTTACAGTATATCAACATTCAGGCTCTCTGTTATCCCGGTGACAATACCTTTTATTAAGAGATTCAATAATATCGGGAACAATCCGGTACATGCACCCCTCGTCCCTGCGTGCTTACAAGACATCGTCTGCTACTCATTTTTCTATGGTGCTCTAATTCAGCCACATCCGAATGTGGTTCATGTTTTGTATTCGAAATAGTTACCTGCTTAAAGCGATTTTCTTTTCAGTAACGTGTTCTTGAATACTGTATTTAACAGGTAGATGAAAAGTCATTCGTATTTAGAATTATTTTCCATACTTTATTGGGTCGCGATGTAACCGAATATGAACTATATGTTATCCGTTTTGTACTGTATAATGGTTATGTATTAGTGCTTACGGTTTCATTTAACGCGACACGATTGTTATTGTTTTACACAACGTTAAGAAAAATAGACTGGCCGTATCCTGGTCAATCAACATAATTGTCATTCTTTGTGGTCGTATAGGTGTATTCTTCGTGGACCGGTCCACTGCAATGCCCAGAATCAAGGCCTACGCAGCAAACACATTACATTGTCCTTGAAAATAAATTTTGACATATCCTATATAGTTTTCAACTTAAATGTCTTTACTAATACATACTCTGTAGACCACTTTTCTTTAATGGATGCAAGATGTAACGAAAATACTTTAGCTTCAGATTACCTAATATAATTTGACTTATTCAAATGAAAAAATAAATTTAAAAGACAAAATTCTGCAGTTATTATTATTATTTAAATCTATTATCTAATAAATCTTACTTAAAATAAAGAAGACTTATAATTTGTGTTAGACAGTATACTCAAAGTCCAGAACAAGATTGTGCCATAAAACTGATAATAGCAGAACCTGTAGCACCTAAGTTACATGATATAGATATATATTGATTGGCTTCTATAAATCCAAACTTAATCTGTTCATTAACACCACCAATCACTGTAATAAGTAAATCATCAGTATCAACAGTGATATCTCTTACACGTTTACTCGACATAGCTACAAACTTTCCTTCTTCTCCATAGATTAACACGTTTTTACCGCTGAAATTAAACATAAAAAAATCTAATTTTATATCAGACAAATAAAAGTACGTTTTTCAGACTGTAATTGTATAACTAGGTCACCCATACTATTATATTAGTTGACCTAACATGTAATCCACACAGTAGTGACACCAATTTTGAAAAGTTCTGGGATAATTATTATACTATTGCATAAAGAGCACATCTGAAACACTCATCGTTTTACTATAACCTTTGCAAATCTACCTTACGATTTCAGTCTATATCAGCATACCTTTTCAGATCATTTCAGATAACTTTTACAATTTCTAAAGATAATTGATATTGTTAATACTTTTTTTATTGCTTGTATATCATCATTATAACTAAAGTTATCTGACAAAACTACTCAAAAATATAAAATTCTGATTTAGAAAATATATGGAATTAATTCTTTTCTACATGGGATATATGTATAAAATAAAACCTGAAACTGAAGACCTCGCCAATATCTTGATTTGAATGTTTTAGTGTTTTTCTGCCTGATCTCTGTCGTCACATCCATGAATAAGAACAAACCACTAAGTTGCTTTTTTTAAACAGAGTCTTCGTTTTCTATCCAACTTCCAATTTTGTGAGGAATCAAAGGAGACAGAAATCGAAGACCTGCCAATATGTTTAAATCTTTTAATTTGTTATATTCCGGCGTAAATCTGGAACGATTATATAAAAACACTAACATAATCACAGTGGTACTTGATAATTATACACGTATACTACTTACCCCGGTGAAAAGACAGGACTTGTATAATACAAACATATCTCGGATCGTGAACAGGCAGTGGTAATCTTCAATGGCTGACTATCACTAAATGGTTGGTTGATGGGACTAGATGCTGTAGCTCTGGTAAATATATTACTTGGTTCAAACTAGAAATAAAACTGCTTACAACTAGAACATAGTATACATTTGTGTTAATATTGTATCCAGATATACAATGAAAAATTCGAAGACCTTTTTTTTCTATTAACGTTTAGAGAAGAAATATAACTAACTTATTTCTATGAGATCCACACTGCCCGAAAAGTATTTTCTCGTCTTTTTCTTGTCCACTGCATATGCCCGAAAATATGCCCGAAGCTCTCTTATGATAGGTATGCCCGAAAAAACGGTATTGCCCGAAAATAGGTATTGACCGAAAAACGGGCATCGGGCCGGAAAGCGGCAGAGGAAACTAGCAGTAAAACGCGTTTGCGACCGTCAAATATTCCAAAATTTTCTTGGCGGGTCATTCGCCTCTCAAAGAAAATCGGCGCTGCTGTCTTATAAATCCGAAATTTTTCGGGCATTTCTGGTTTTGCTTCCCTAGCTGTCACCGAGCCCTAATAAAACACTAATTTTACTTTTCTTGTAATTGAATATCACGAATTTGTACTGAGTTGACTATGGATTAACACATTTTGTCTGGAGCCACTCTACTTTGTGCGACATTTTTCAGGCATCGATTATTATTTGTGAATGCAGATGCAACAGTCTGATTGGATGGTTAGAATTCAGAGTGGGATTTCAGTTACAAAACCATTGGATACTTTTGCAGTTGCTTACACGGGCTAGAATAGCAGAAAACGCATTTACGGTGATTAAATTTTCAAATTTTTCTCCGGGAGGGTGAGGCCTCCATATACCGCGCGACGATTGATTGGTTGTTTGGAACTGGAATAACAGGAAAACGCGTTTGCGGCAGTTACATTTTCAAAATTTTCTCTCAACGGTCCCGTCTTGGTTGACTGTAAACGATTGATTGGAATTCGAGTCAGCCACCTTAATAAGGCTATAATATATATTCGACCACTTTGAAGTTGCTTTGTTCACCGGCTGAAATAGCAGGAAAACGCGTTTGCGACAGATAAATTTTCAAAATTTTCTCCTAACGGTCCCGTCTTCGAGGACTGTATATCCAATTGATTGGAATTCGAGTCAGCTTTGTTCACTGGCTGAAATATCGGGAAAACGCGTTTGCGGCAGTTAATTTTTCAAAATTTACTCCTAACGGTCCCGTCTTCGAGGACTGTAAACGATTGATTGGAATTCCGAGTCAGCCACCTTAATTAGGCTATATTAGACCACTTTGAAGTTGCTTTGTTCAACGGCTGCAATAGCAGGAAAACGTGTTTGCAGCCGTCAAATATTCCAAAATTGACTTTGGGGGGGGGGGGGTATACAAGGTCGCTGCTGTCAGTAAACCCGAAATTTTTTCGGGCATTTCGGGTTCTGCCCCCCTAACTGTCATCGAGCCCCTACGCCTATGCAGATATAAAGGGTTAAGTACCGAAGCTACGTTTAGTTGACAGTTTTCGTTGATTCTCGCGATCGACTACAAAATATGATGTGACAGAAATCTATACTAATATTTGTGACTGTCGTTTGTCTGTCTGTTTGTCTGTCTGTTCGGGGTTGGCGGCTACACTAGGTCTGCCCCGAGTCTGAAATTGGGGGTATAGGGGTAGCTCGGACCGGGGAGTAACATAGGTCAGGTGGCGTTAGTCTACCACTTCCGGTTTCGGGGTTATGACCCCCGAGCGAAGCCGGGCATTCTTCTAGTATATGATAATGGAGAAAGTGCGAGTAAAATTTACCATTCGTTCGGCATATAAATATTTCACTTCGGTAAATCAAATAGCAGAAATATAGTGTCAAGATTATGAAACAAACGTGTGGACTGTTGGTCGCGTTTTACAGCTGCATCGATATCCGATTAATTACGACGGTCAAGGAAGTTAATCACGACTTACAAAGTTAAATCCAGCAGTGGTAGGTGACAAACTGTAGTCAGCTTCCATAGCAGTCCCTAAAACCAACCCAAATACAAAGTCACCAATGTCGGTATAGGTCGTCCACACTTCACCTTGGGGTCCAACACTGCCCCCTAAGGCCATCTATAATAAAAAGAGTTTAACCAGGGGTTTTTTTTAAATAAAAAAGGTTCTGAATAAGTACTGAACACCATGTTTCGCTGAAGCAGAGTGTAGCAATTTCCATCGATTAAAATGGCCTAATACTTTTAATGCGACCACTCATTCAATTTTAAAGAAAGAAATATTTTGGATTAGAACTCTTAAAACTCTTGAATTTACTGGTATTAATAATACTCCTCAAACCATCTTCCCCATAAGTACTTTTTAGAATTTTTTAAACATTTGTCAGTACTTTCCCAATTTCCACGCGCTCTTGGTTCCAGCACTCTTCGTCATAATTCTCTGTGACGTCATTTCTGTTACCTTAGAGATCATTTTTAAATGTTTTTTATTTATTACCTTGAAGAAAGTTGGGGTTTAATAATATCTGACGACGAAAACAGTGTTAGTGTCGCTTTTGTTAATCTTCTTTATTTATCTAGCGAGGGAAATTTTCGTTTTCATATTCCTGTTCGACGCGGATTCTACACACCCTTTACCTTGTTTAAGGTCGATAGTTACCAAAACTTAACTTTTCTACTAGTACACTTAGTATTAGTAAATTGTTAATCTACGCCAACTTCCTTAGTAGGCTACAGAAAATGGGACATTACGAACTCGACCTTTCTGCATAAGCGAACGTCATAGATAGTGTGTTTCCTCGTTACGGGACAAATTAATATTTTCAGGAAATTAGATTTATGTAACTGACTAATTTACTCTATAAAAGCAGGTAAAGAAACTCGCCTGTTTAATTTCAGCATCAATAGCTTTAGCTGGTCTTGAAGCCTGTAGAATCATTCCATCAGATCTACAGCATCTGAAATAAAACATATCAAACTAACGATGTTGTCTAGTTATCGTTTTAACTAAATCCTGAAATATCCTCATTAAAGATGGGCTACCTTCATATTTGAATTCCAAACACCCTTGATACCTGAACACCTTCGTATGTGAATCCCGAATAACGAGGTAAAAAAACGAAAAACAAAAGCTTGTTATTCGCTGCTTGAATAACAATTAGGATGGTTAGCCTCATATTTGAATCCCGAATAACAGGTTGAATAACGAATAACAAGGCAGCGTGTTCCTCGTTATTTAGCAATAACGATGCTAGTCATCTCGTTATTCACCGTTTGAATATTTCTTCTTTAATATAACAATATATTTAACAATTTCTTATGATCCACATGTCGTTATGTCCGATGAGGCAATTCGCGATGTACAGTTTAAGTATCTTCCACACAGTTTTTATAACATATCAATATTCAACAGTTTATCATGATGCATTATATCCTTATATTAGTATACGTCGATATGCCATACCCAGTTTGTGTTTCTTCAATCCACTTATTATAACACAACAGTAAATTCGGGAAGAATTGGCAAGGAAGGAAACATAATTTAAAACGCAGCTTATTTCCCCTTTTAAAGTCTGAGTGTAAGCGTATTGATATGAGTTATTCTGGGTAAAATATATTACTCTATCCATGGTATTAATTCAATGGATATGATGTGCCAAAATAAATTTGAAACAACTTACTGCATAACTAGAGTGGCGTTTGTTTTGTTTATCATATCACCAGGACCAACTGGACCTGTACTGAGAGTAGCTACAGCAGCTTGAAGTTCGGCATGAGTTTCCTTTAGATCTGCGTGTATAAAATAATGAGAATCAACCTGTATATAGGTTTACATTCTGTTGAGAAAATTCGGATACAATTGCTAGCTGTGTCTGTAAAAAGACATAACATACTCTAGTCCCCTAATTCTAATTTCGGACACATTTACTGCTTCTTAACAATTACCATTCAATTACTTGGGTCAATGTACTTATTGTTTAAGCTGAAGTTCTCATGTTGAAATTCTGACTTAGGGTCTACTTTTTAGTTATAACCCTTCTTTCGCTGTTACTGAAATGTTAGATATATATATATATATATATATAAATCAATCATTTATGGATTCAACTATACGGAGTAACCTTTACCATTGGAAGTAATTCAATTACCTGGATAAGCTGGATTCCCCGGTTGATCAGCAGATGACCAGAAATTATCTTTAAAAGGGGCCACTCCAACAGCATCAGTGAAAATAGAACTAATACCTATCTTCCAATTATCAGCACCAGCACGATAGTCACCACTGGCTCTAGCCTAAAACAAACAGTAATTTACTAATGATAAATAAAACCTTTGTTTGAAATAATGAAATTGCAATTTAAGAATACCATAAAGAATGATTATTCTCTGTCTATATATTTTTTCAATTATTTAGAGACATAATAAAATTGCACATGCTTCTAAATTGAACATTATTTAAGCTTTCTGGCGCACCTCTGAACAATATGAATTGATGTAAATATTATATGCATCGTTGGGACAATGTATGTTATACAGAAATAACAATGGTACCTGTGTAACTACTGGTATCTCAAGACTCTGCAAGATATGTCTTGGGTTCGACATACAATACTGAATAGTGAGATCATTATTCCTGGCAGCCATACCCATCTGCATCAACCACGTTCTACCAAGATCTACCTGAGTTAGTAAGGCATTAACACCAGCAAATTCAACATCAAGCCAATCCTAGAAAGAAAATGTAATTTCGGTCATCCATCCATCTTGTATTTCAGGATACTAAAATAAGGGTATCCCTTTCCTCCACCCATGAAGTCTTTTATTTTCTGGAGACTGCCCAAAGGACAAATTTCCCGATTAATTTGAGACCGGGTTCACTATTATAATCATGAATGTACAGTTAAACAAATGCGTCTTTTTCTACGTACCTGTTCATATAGTATCAAACCCCATCTTTTAGCATTGTCAAACAGATAGTTCCAAAATGACTAAAATAAATGAAATAGAAAATACATAATTTTAGCAATTTAAAGTAGATGAACGATATTTTATTTTCAAACTGTTTTTCTACGATACAACTAAAAATATTTTACAATGTGATTGCATCTCTGAAATATCTGAAACATTCCATCCATATTTATTCAATAGGACTAACCTCATCTGTTGGTACAGCTTTTGCTTTTTCAACAATAAAGTCAAACTGCCCACCATTTTGTTTTGCATAAGTGTTATTTGGAGACCTGAAGTGATACAGTAAAATCGTCTCGCTCAGCACTTGAATGTTCTGTAAACCCCACCATTTATTACAATTGTCAACAATTCAAAAGTGTATCTGATTTAAGAGATATATTGTGTGGACCAGGAAATGGTCCACAAACTTTACTCATCTTGTTGTTTCTGCAGGTGGCGACGCTCTTCGAAAAAGCATTTTGTTCCGCTAACGCAAGTACGATCTTGTTCCTTGGACAACTCTGTATTGATTTTTCATATGACGTCATATAATTCCAAGATGCTGAGATGACGTCATGCTCGCATGTAATATCATTTGTCTTTACAACTTAGACCTCCAGCTTCCCATCCATATAACAAGTCATAGTTCTACTTACCACCATCGGTTATGACACCCTATCGGTAACCCCGTCATGTTATATAGATATCTGTAATATAACGATACAGGAATTATCATGCTAAACACATAAGCACTATCATAAATAATAAATTTGGTATCAATGCATTCTGTTTCTCAAAAATGTAACCCAAAATAATAGGAAGAGGATTAATGTCAACGAGAGGAATACAGGGCTCTGGACTAGTCTTTTCTTCTTTTTTTTTTTTGAAAACGTATCTCGTTACACGTTTGATATAGATTATCATAACGAAATGAAACTTAAGGTATTACATGTTATATATTATGTGGGAAAGATCTTACTGAAAACCATGCGGAAAGAGCTCGGGCATCGGTGTCCATGTTTGCACTCCACCATGCGGTCCTTTATAATAGAAATATGAATCAATCTGTAAATACCTATATATAAAGAAAAATATTTAAAAAAAAAACACTATATGAGACAATTGATAGAATCACTGAATGTATGGATTGGATTTATTTTTACTAGTGCTAAATGTTTAAAAATAAATCACTCACTTATAGGAGGAATGACTGAAAATATATCTAGGTATTTGGAGTATGACTAAATATTTGCACCAAATTATAATCATAATGACATAAATAACCGTCTGAGAGCCATTTTTAGTCACACCAACCTCCTTGCGATCACAACGTGGTGATACAATGAACATTCCTTACTATCCTACATAAAGTTTAAAGGCGCGTTCTCTCGATGTCAATTAGGTAATCTGTTGCGACTAAAGTATGATACTTGTTATGGCCCAGAAAATTTAGTAACTTACAATAATTTTAAAAAGAAAATAAATACATGTCAACCGCAAGTTTGGCAGATGGCCATTTGTCATTATCAAGTAAAAAAAATTGACGTCGCTGTTAATTATTCGATCAGATAAATTAAAACAAAATTGCAAAATATAGTGAATACCTGTAAGGCATATTTATATCTCTTCCATACTGTACACAGTCTAAAATAGTCTGTTCATAATCCTTATTTGTTTCAACGTTATAGTAGTAATAGGCACCTTCAAGAAAAGGGGGTAATACGTAAGTAACGTATTACCAGAACATATGTAATTAATTAATTAGTGCATGTATATGATATTTTAGCGACCGCGGTTATTGCGAAAATTGTTATCCCCTACCTCAGTATTTTATGTCAAAATTTACACAAAAGAACACGAGAAGCATTTCTATCACACATATATTACAAGGGCTCAGAATGCACAATGATTATCAAATTCCCTACATGATACAGAATAATGACAAATTAAGGGAGTTTGGGTTGTTTTACTATAATCAATATTCTATTCGTTTGAATGGGATTGGGGAAAGGGCGTGGTCTAATTAATCCTTATGTAAGTAGAAAAGAAATATATTGATGTACGTATACATTTATTAACATCAACATGTGCTACTATGTGTTAGTATAAAACTCTAACCTCCATCCGTCCAATATCCTATATAATTTAGTGTTAAATCACTTTGTCTGTAAGAACCATCTTTACCATAATATGTTGTCATCAGTCGACCCCAATCATCCATGGCCTAACACAGAAATAAAAGTAACAGTTTACCAATGGTAAATTTAAAACTCCTTTATCGTTCACAATTTTTAAAAGGCCAAATCTTCAACACAAGTGTCACTCGTAACAACAAAAAGGAAGAAATGTTTCTTAACGCCCGCTCATCACAAACCAGCTCTGTTATTTATGACCATATTTCTATGCTTTACTTCCGAAGATGATGTTTACAAATATCATACCCTGTTAATACCAGCCGATCTGTACATAAGGACAGTCTGAAGAACATAATTTGCCGGTACATAATCGACACCGCCCATGACACCATAGCTATACGACTCTCCATCAGAATAACTAGATGCAGCCATAAATTGGTTGAAGGGAGATATAACAAGGACATTTTCACCAGAATCAAACAAAACTAAAGGCCCACCGATTATTCCAGTGCTAAGTTTAACTTTATTATTCCACCTGAAAGATAAATAAAAAATATTTTTATTGGCGTAACATTAGTTTAAAAAAAAACGTTATATCTTCTGGAATAAGAAGGAGCTTGTAAAATCGTGTATGCTAACTCTCACCTCCCAAATGACTTGGCTGAATCTCCGGCCATGCTTCCAGCAAAGTGCATATATCCAAGCTGACCTTCATCTTGTGGCATTTGAAAGCTTGGAAATCCAGCAATGACAGAATCGGTATCCCCTGTAGAAGTTCCATTGGTTATATTAAGATATTGCTGAAATACAAAATAATGCCGCACGAGATTTAATGAAAATTCGGGTAATTCTAAAGGGACGAAAATATCAAATAACAAAATTACAAAGAAATATGTGATAGTGAACAAATATCTAAAAATGCAGGAAATTTTGAAAATTTTCTCACGACCGTGTTAATCCATTTGAAATCCATACCTGCTCAAATATAACAAAAGGTAAAGCTGGTGTTGTGTAGGTTTTAAAACATGTAGTCATATGGTTGTTTATAATAACAAACGGCCAACAAGTTTTCTGCCAATGCCCCAGATTATCATATCCGGTAAGTTGTACAGATTGGTTGATCTTCAAGGATTGGTCAGCTAAAGAATATTTCTTTCCTCCAACAAAGAAGAATGTAGGAGCGGAAGTTAACCACGTAACCTTGTTGAATAAAATGCTGTAGCTGCCATTTTTGTTGATTTGTAGTTGAAATTCAGCATCCGCTGTATCATCGAATTTCAGTTTTCCTGTAAAAAGCATATGATCGTTTTTACGAGAGCGTCGCATAATCTGCCAAAATTCGTATTGTTGCATATTTTTAGACCAGAACACTAAAATGGACATATGCAGTGATAAAAGTGATAAAATGATCAAAATGAACAAGTTGTTAAGAAATTCTGCTAATATTGGATTTATTTACAAAAAATCAAATGGATTTATTTGCAAAAAAAAAAACAAATGGATTTATTTGCCAAAAAAACCCAAATGGATTTATTTTAAAAAAAAACAATGGCACTTCCTCACCTTATTGCACTACAGCGTCCTCAAGTATATCAAATATTATCTTACCTTGTGAAAAATACAGTATAGTTAAACTAAACACAATTTTTACCAACGCTACTAGATAGTACACGTAACTCATGGTATAAAAAACCTTATTTATCAACATAAAACACTCACCTGCCGCAACGCTGCAGAAAATCAACGTGATGCACACACCGATTTTCATCTTGGTGGCTACAATAATGTACTCCTACCAATCTATGTCCGTAACAAGATTAATATTATATTGATATATATACATCGTTATCTATTGTTATCGACTGATTTTCATAACGTGAGGTTTAAATATATCAATATAGTATGATCTTCTAAAGAAAACAAATTAAATGTGAAATTTTGTTTTGACAAATTTTTATCTGTAATTTTATCGACTTCATGACCGTTAAGATGTTTTTGAATTTAAATGTGAAATATTGTCTATGCAAAATGTAAGAGGCGTTGTAATAACACCCCTAGGCGAACATAATCGGCTGTACTAAATACCGAAAAGAACAATATACCATTCTACTATAAAGTCCAAGAATAATAAATCAAAAATAATTGGAATTATACATGTTTTAAAATTAGTTCGAATATTCCGTTTCGCTAAATACTAATGCTCAAAATTCTGCAGCTATGTTAATAACTCAAGCCAAGCTGTATTCTCGTGTTACTCCCAAATTATTGTGTCCTATCATTTATCATCAGTGATTTCTGTATTAAATTGGGATACGTGCGGGGGACTGTTTTGCCTATGAAGCGTGTCCGTGATACGGATTGAAGTATATCCACTTCTCCAATGTATCTATCAAAATAATTAACTTGCTGAGGCAAGGATTCTTTCCAACCGGCGTGAATGTGACTTGACCCCCCCCCCCTTGATTACGTCATATGATGGGGGTGTCCTTTATGCGTAATACTCAATGCGTTTTCATTGGCCCGGGGGCGCGATGAATACAAGACACAACGCATCACGCAATACGTACACACGGAAACGCTAAAACATTCAATGATTTTTGTCCATAAGCTTCCCGCAATGCGCATGAGTGAAATGAAATGGGGTTTAACGTCCTACTGTTCTGCACCAATTTGAATAATGGAGATGGGCATACGCCATGCAGTGTGCTATGAGAGAAATTTAGCGCTGACAACAACGCTAGGGCCTACTTCTATTTCAAATTCCACCTGAACTACTAGACGCTGACTCTCCGTCATGTACCAATAAAACACGCTGGAAAATCCCGGGGAACTTTTTCGGCTAACACCGGGAACGAACCCCGAACTCAAAATTAGTGGACTAGCACTTTACACACTGAGCAATCACATTACACATGAAGTCCTAGTTTAAAACAAAGCAGGAACGCTATGTTAAAATACCAAGGTTAAAATCAAGTGGTGACAGATGCACTGTAATCTAATCGTGTCAAGGACTGGCGCATTCGATTTGTGCAAATCAATCAGATTAGAAAGTTTATGATAATTGATGCAACATTTTTCGCCAATGGAAAATATGAATATGATTTTCTATTTATAAACAATTGTGGTCCTCCTCACGTAAATAACATTTTGGTATATTATCCATGAAAATAATGAAGTTGTGCTACACATCATCAAAAAAACATATTCTTTTGGAAAATCAAAATTAATTTAAGCATTTAATTTTTACGTTATGGTATCGAGTTAAGCATTTAATTTTTACGTTATGGTATCGAGCAACTTATATAGAACAATTTATTCCAAAGTTATCAGTCACGAGTGAATGTTGCAACAAATGTTTTCTCATATCCTCATTTCGTATCGAAATTGAAACACATTTTCGTCAAGCATCGAAAAAAGTAAAATTGTCAGATCGAATAAAATGTCTGTCCGAAGTTGTCTTCCATAGCTACCACGGCTATCTAAATGAAATGTATCAAGTCACTAATAATAGCTAAATAACTAGATCAACATTTGAACTTTGATATAGAAGCAGTTTTGTTTATGGTATCTTAAAAGATAGTGTAATCCAACACACCAATACGGTTTGATCACTTTTCTTATTTTTCGAAATTACGATAGTATTTCGACTAGTTTATATTAAACCATCCTTTAGGTGACACTAATCACAAAATGTTCAGATTGTTGGGTTTACTATAATTGTTAGGTTGGGGGTGGAGGGGGGGTGGTATTGCATTTTAACACATCTAAGACGACAGAATATGGATAAACCACTAAAATAATATATATATCGATGTATCCTTAAATTAAGCAGCATCTTGAGAAACGATGGATAGTGAAATGTTACATTTCGGCGGTAAGACAACACGAAAGTCATTCACAGATAACACACACCGCTTATCTGTAGTAAAGAGTTGACTTTGAACATTTATCAAATAGGCAACTTGACATAAGTGTATGGGCGATTTAACCATTATAGAAAGCAGAGACCATGCTACTATATATATTTATTATCCTGTCAGTGTTGTCATTGGGACTTTCGGGTAAGAAATTAGTCTTAAAATTCATACTTACACGATCAGGTATTACCCGAATATCGTCGAGGTTTAACATAACTATTAACCTATCTGAACATAAAGTAATGAAATCCAAATGTATAGTTCAGGGTCTTTAAAAGTGTTGTTATCATTTGTATAACATATACGATTCAAAGTCTTTGTGTTAATATAATGTTTTTAGACAGTTCTGATCTAGTTTGAAACATTCTCTTTGCATCATTGATAAGCGAGCCGCTGTGTCTCAGTGAGTTCTTACGGACTTTCTTAAATTTATATTGGATAGCTACCTATTCCCCCTTGGAGACATTTGGGGCGCTTTTATCCCGGAAACTACGCTTATTTAGTTTCTTAAACTTATGTTGCTCGGAGTCCTATCGGTGATCTAGGGTGTGAATCCAAATGAAGACCACAGGGGAAAAACTGGTGATGTCCACATTTATGCTTTTGTTCGATTACTTCCACCGATTTTACCCCTTGGTCCCTTCATTCTTTTCTATAAATATTGTATGGAACAACTTGACATTCCACTCTCTACAGAGGGTTTTTTGAAAGGCATAAAAGGGAAAAACTGGTGATGTCCAAGTCAAATGCCCAAAATACACCATAGGAATGCTATGGGGGTGTGCACCAGCTTAATTAATGTTCTCACTAAATGCACGATTCTTCATAGAAACTTGCAATATTTAAAAAAAAAACTCTTCCGAACTGAAGAAATGAGTGTTTAAACTGGAAATTTCCATTTACTCTAAAGTCAGAAAACGTGACTTCACCAGTTTTCCCCTGGAATCTACAAATGTTAAAGGCTCAAAATGCTATAAGTGGGCCAACTAGTTTATTGATCACAGTATATTCAACATCAGCCTTTTTTACATCAGCCATTCGTGTTTTTAGTTCAGAAACCGGGATGGGATAGTTCTTCTGAAGGTCTTGTCATCAATATAAGTACCAATGGCGCTTATTCAATCGATGTGAATAATGTTACATGGTTGAATAGCGGTGATACATTCTTCTTTGCTAATGGTAAAAGAAACGTTGCTGGTCATGACCTGAAATTGACACAGACGACCGCTGATGGAGGCGTCGATAAATTTGGAGAATGGACCAGAACTAATTTCCATTACACTGCTGGAACATCACAAATCATAGCTGCTATTAAGACATACAATAACAATTCAACTCCATTTGTCATCTTTAGTCAGGTGCGTCAATTTAATTTTTGAAACTATTATTCAAAATAAGCTCTAAAACAGGTCACTTTAATAGCTTAGAAGTCAGGCTTTCAAGAAAAAAAACTGCATTTGTTGCTTCCAATAGTATTTCATATCACTATAAGTGGAAATACCCAGAGATTATTATTTAGTTGTAAAATAAATTTGACATAACTACTGAAATCTCTGGGAAAATTGCTCAATTAAGGAAATAAATAGGTTTAACGTCAACTGGAATGAACCGACTATGTGCTACGTGGGAAATTGTGCCCTGTTACAGGCGCAACGCTTTCTAGTTATTTCTATCCCAAAATGTCCGAGGATCTTTAACCTATTTAACCTACGAACAGTGGTATGGAAATTCCTGTGTTCGTCTATTCGATCGACTAGAAGATTTGCGTCGCCAGACCCACCATCCTGCCCAATAACAAGGGGAAACAAGAGTAGAAAATCCTGGGTAACGTTCTCAGTCAACACCGGGACCACCTGGTTAGTGAGTCAGCACCAGGTCATCAACTCACCGTGGCTCCCGATCAGTTAATTTGTACCCTAATACATATAAGTGCATTCGAACCATTTCAATATATAAACGTATAGTTTACACATTCAAATTGATTTGTGGGAGAGGGGCGGGGGAATGGGTGGATGTTTGAGTAGTGCAATCAGTGCGCTTTAGATCATGACTTCTACTATTGAGTTAAGTACTATGGTTTCGATGCCATGCCTGTCCAATACTCAATACTATTACGCACAAACGTATTATTGATATAAATTTGTACCATATTTTATTCCCGAAATGACCTTGATATGATTGAGTGGACATTAAATCCTATACACCTCTCTCTCTTCTGTTGATGTAAGTTTGATTCGGTTTGTTTTTATAACAGTGGAACATTTATAATGCATTTAAGGTTTTCTTTATTTATAGCAATATGTTAATGGTGCTAATAATACTGATGCTGGGAACGTGGATTATTCCATCTCGTCTTTTCCTGGATTTAAAATCGAAAAGGGCACGCCTGCTTTAGGATATCTGTCATATGGTGGAATGATGTTTGGTGATACCGAGAAAAAGATGGGATCGTAAGTTTTATTTTGTCCTATTTGCCATGTAAATTGCATCCAGTAACATCGATTACAAAATTTGGTCCATGATAAACACACATTCAGGTAATAAGCTTTCACGTGCGTAAAGACACGTAGATTTACACCATCTCTAATTTTGTATTATTAAAATATACAGTCCTCAACACCTGATAAAAAAAAGTTCTAACGTCATACTTGATACTGAAGAAGATAATGGCGAACCCACTTTCTGGGGTAGTTTTTGATTACTATGTATAGGTAGTCTGTAATTACTCTTTACGGTTTGTGAATATGTTTGACACTAAGCGATGTGAATTGCCCAAAGATCATACCGGGAAAATTTTTTTTTTTTTTTTTTCATTGTTTTTAAATTAATTAAGACTATCATATTTCAGTTGGGGCTATTCCACAACCAAAATAAACTACGGTATTAAAGGTGGTCCATTGGCATTGTTTGATCAAACTGGTGACACTATCATTATCTCTTCAGCCAACAACTTTATGTCCACATCCGTTTGGCATGAGTCATTCTTAGACATAGGTGGTTCTGTACACTGGGGTACTATGGGTGGCGTAACTGAAGTTCCGCCTGGTCATGTAGTTGAAACCGTACTTTACTACCACAACGGGGGCATTAATAAGGTACGAGATGTTGTTTATAAAAACAATAAATAAATGATATTTTATAGACTGATATATATATATTATTAAATGTTATGTTATAGACTCATATATATATATATATATATATATATATATTATTAAACGAGAGCCACTGTTGCTGGGCGAATAAGGCGCTAGCTCAATAACTAGGGAGTCCGGAGTTTGATCTGGTGTTGGCCGAGAAAGTTCCCTGGGATTTTCCAGCGTAGATTTTACTTGCCAATGGCGCAGTACGGGGGGTCTGACAGGCAATAGCGTCTAGTTGTTCGCTTAGGATCAAACACCGAGGCTTGTGTACACCTAAAAGATCCATTCACCCTCATAGCACACTGCACTGCATGACGTATGTCTGTTTTAATTCACATTATTAAAATGAAAGAGTAAAACATGAATTATGTAGAAGTAACACATTTCATGTATAAATATTCATTCGTAGGCTATGGAAGGATGGGGTGAATATTTAAGATATCGCTACAATAGAGATGATACCTATGTTAAATCTGATCTTACTATCAACTATCTCGGTTACTGGACTGACAACGGTAAGTAGAATAGAAATCTGTATCAATGGAACTTGGTAAAGCATGAAGTATTTCAGCTCCATCACTTGGAACCACTATGCCTCTTTATGAACCTAGCTAAGATGTAATACAAGAAATTTAAATGGTTCTAACCATTATATAAAAAGAAATCGGGGAATAGAATCCTGCCAGTATCAAATTCACATTTTCGTATTTAATCAACAGGGGCATATTATTATTACAAGACCGAAGATCAACAGAATTATCAACAAACAATGTTAGACGTGAAGAAATATACTGATAAAGTTAAAATACCATACAGGTAATGTAACAGCCTACTGATAAAGCTAAAATACCAGAGGTAAGGTAACAGTAGCACAATTTTATTGCCATGACAAATATACGGAACAATCATATAATGCACCATCTGATACCAGTTAACCTTAATCGTAAAACGAAATGAAATGGGGTTTAAAGTCCTACTGTTCTGCTCCGACCAGGCTAAAATCGCGAAAAGAAATCAGGGAATCGGAAGCTCTAATACCACTAGTAGGCCATTTTAAGCAGACCCGTCGAAACGAAATTTATATTGGGTGTATGGATACTACCAGCGTAACGCGACTACATGATATTCAAGGGGCAATTCTTGTTTTAAATGGGGTGGAATTGGGTTGGAGGTAGTAGTGGTGGTGTTTGGGGGTGGGGGTGGGGGGCTTCAGTTGCAATGGGCCTGGTAAAGTAGTATTCTCAGTATAACATAATGTTTCACTTTTCAGATATATACAGTATGATTCGTGGTGGTATTATAAAGGACGAGCAAATGGTGTTAAAACTTGGGTATCTCGTCCAGATGTATTCCCACAAGGAAGTCAGTAAGTCCACAATTTAATTAACGATTAGCAATGAAATTGCGGATCAACAATTTCTAGAACATTCGGAAAACATTACTGCAAAGCCCCAATAGAAAAAGGTTGAAATAGTTGAAAATAAAGATCGTGATGTGTATAGCCACCGTGAACTATCTATGGGTGTTCAAATTGTTGATTATCTGTAATATATTCTCTTTGTTTTCAGATATGTATTTAACCAGACCGGCTTACCTGTATCCGCCCATAACCGATACTGGTAAAATGTTTTAATCATAAGAAAATATGTTATTCTCGCATGACACTGTGCCGTATTTTGTCGTATGTGTCTTTTTTCCGCGAGCCAAATGTTCGGTCTAAATCAATCAGTGGTATCAATTATTCCAAGAAACGTATACACCTCCTGAACCTAACGTGATTAAAATGAAATAAAATGGTGTTTAACGTCTTTTGTTGCTGCAGTAACTGGGCTAATGAGGATCAGGGAATCTTTAACTTTCTACCAAGGGTATATACGTGTGGGTTCGTCACATCCGGGAAACGAAAAATCCCGTGGAACACCGTTTAAGGCTCCAATTCTATAAGCAAATAATATTTGGTAAAGTACATCGGTAACATCGTTAGTCCGGTACGTATTTGTAACAGGATACCAGAACAATAATAATTAATCAAATAAATGAACCGATCCCGTAGAAGGATGACGAAACTGTTAACAAACTACCAAGCTAACTGATAAATGTATGTACTGTAATTATTTTGACCCGGGTTTTTTTATTCATTAAGGTCTAGCGACACAACATATGCAAAACAAAATGGTGGAGCTTATAATTTTATTGTTGAACTGGTGTTGGCTGTCCCAATGGATGAGGTAAAGGAATTTATAGTCGTGTATCAATGTGTACACGTAACGTTGTGTGCGTTCATTCTTAGAACACAAAATGCCAGTAAATTTACATTATTAACGTAATCTCCATTTACAAGTGAATAAGTCGCTTTCTCAGTTCTTTTGTAAATCTGTTGCATGACTAAAAATTACTATCTTCTCTATTTACAGAAATTGTGGGATGATTTATTTACCGAGGGTAGAAAATGGGGATTAGTCTCTTATGAACAGGTAAAGTACTACACTGCTATCAAAACAATATACAATGTCACGATTGAGAACCTCTTGTAACTGTGCTAAAAGTCATACAGAGTGAGGATTTAAAGTTTTGTTTTCCAAATCCTTTCTAAACCATTCACTTCAACATGCGTGATAATTCCTTTGTAAAAGAGACATTGTATAACCAGACATTATCTTCCCAGAAAGTTGATTATCGGCTTGCCATGTAAAAATTGTTAAAGTAATAGTTTTTATAATATTCGAAGCCAGAAAACGCCCCACAATAGGTACATGTAAATTGGGCTTCGTATAATGTGTCTTTAAATGTGACTTCCATGCTATAGTTTAAAAGACATTATCTCAGGACTCGCGTGTATCATCGTTACTGCTAATTAATTACCGCGAAGTCTTTTCCCTATCATTTATGGACGTAATTATATATTTGTTGAATTAAAGGATTGGTTAAATGATGAATTTTTTGGAATGAAAGCTTTAACGACTGATATAAATAATGCCAAAGTGTGGTTAACTTTAATGGGAAAAAGTGCCAGGAAAAATGGTATTACTATACAATATTGTATGTCGAATTGTCGACACGCCATGCAGTCACTAGAACTACCAGCTGTAACTCAGGTAATGGGTTGTTTACTAATCTATGTTGACCCTTTAATACAATAGTCGAATATTTCCCCAGGTGTCCATTGATAGAAGTGCTTTTAAATATGCATATCAAACTCTATTGTGTTAGAAAACGACTCGGTTACTCTGGTTTAAAGTTCCAGCTTTATAACTAATTTAAAGAATTCCATTGACTTGATAATTGCGACGATCATTTATCAAATTTAATTCGACAGTTATGTAGAAATGGTTACCCAATTTACTGTGAGAGAAACTGGACAGAACGGATTGTGGGAAGTTATAAACGTTAAGAACTCGAAGTATGTAATCAGAGGGCATGATCCAGTAGTCTTAAAGTCGTACTTCCAGATTGTCAAAACGTCAAGCTATAGTGTTATAAAAAAAGGCAAAAAACTATGTTAGATTTATATGAATGGGTGATTTACAAAGTTTTCCTATATGTACTCCTTTTTAGGCTCGTGTAAGCGATGATTATTCACCAGGACAAGATCAGTGGAAGATTGGTATATCATCAATATTTGCCTATGCTATGGGCGTGGCACCATTTAAAGACAACTTCTGGTCGACAACTAACCAGTCGGGAAATCCTTACAGTAAGAAAGTGTATTGCAAATTTAAAAATTCTACATCCCCACCCCGCACTGCCCCAGAGAAGCAGCAGTAGCATCAATTATATCAACTGTGGTAGCAACAATTATATCAACTGTAGTAGCTGCAATCAAATCACCTGTAAATGCTTACGTTATTGGATCAAATAAATACCAAGAGTTGTGACGGCATCATCAAAATAACGCTATATATGACCCCCAGCAAGAGCATGTAATAACAATAATAGAACTGAAAAAAAAACGGCGAAAAGAGCTACTTTAGCAACAATTTCATGTACCACCGCGACAGCCAATTAAACACATGTGACCCGGTGTATCGCGTAAACATCGTATGAAATGTAATTATCATGCTGTGTATATTTAAGGTCGATCTGAACCATACAATGGATTAAATGCTGTTGTATCTACTTTGAGTACTGGCCCTGTTGGTCCGAGTGATAAGATTGGACTTAGTAATGTATCCCTGATTATGAGGTAAATATATGATGTACATAACTGCAATTTCAGTTTTAAAAGAACAAACTATGGCTCAAAAGAAAATCATATTATGGGTAATTCATATGTAAGAATATTTATAACATTATTTACATGGAGTTAAAGACTGTAAAATTATTAAATTTATGTCAATATAGAATTTGATGGCATATATTGCTGATAAATATTGTTCCTATTTCAATGTTGATAAACTTGATGTGTAGCTTGTTCACAAAATTATAATTACTAGGGAAAATAAGCGTGACTGGCATAAAAAAAATATTGCTAGGTTTCGATGACAGGGGAAAGAACTCCTATGAAATAATAATTACGATAACCCTGAATTGGCGTTCTAAGTTTATAACTGGACGGTTAATCCTTCACAATTCAAACACTCACCTACACTGCAATTAAACGAAATTGAGTGGGCAGTGTACAACAATATAATATATTTACAAGTTTTATCTTTATCAAATTAATGTTTTGTGTTTAATTTTGTCAAAAGATGCTGTAATGATGATGGTCTTATCTTGAAGCCGTCTAAACCAGCAACAGCCATTGACAGTCAGATATATCAGGTATGATGTGAGAATATATTTCAACCAGTAATAACTAACACCTAACTTACTAAACATAAATGTGTTACAGCGAAACACGGACCTTGACTTATAAAGGAACGTAACCAATTAAATAAACGTTTTGTAATAATAGCTTAAAAATTGAAATCTGCAAGTCTTTGAGACGGATGAATACTTCCTAAATATAATTATTTTTAAGATCCTAATTTATGTTAGAAAAGTGAAAAGTAAACTATTTTGAAGGCAAATATTTCATCACAATAAATTAACGAGCTGGATTTGTAACTTTGGGTGTTACTTATTCCTCTTGACTTAATGGAAATATTAATTCACCCAAAATGTCACAACATTTGTTCTTCACATTAGTACAAAATCGTATTGGCATCCAGAAATTAGATAACTCGAAATTCTAATAATATCTGAACGTACAACTATTGAATAACGCTATGTGGACAATTATACTTTACAGATCGACGACGATCCATATATGTACAAATTACCTAGAGTAGAAAACTTATTATGTATTTTTACTATTTAACTGTTTCAAATTCGATTTCTTTTAACAGTCAGCGTTTGGTACTGGGGGTCCTGTTGGTGAATTATGGACAACTTATTCTAATATCGGTTTTATTGAGGCGAGACATTTTGGTATTATTTTAGCTGCTGATATACAAAACACCTTTCAGCTAACACCAACATTAGCAGGTTTCGGTAATGTAAGTATGTTTTCTCGCTAGAGATAAAGGGACAATTTCCTATTTGTAAGATTTTATTTTCATTATGCTGACACAGCAAACGACCGTCAAGGTAAATGGCGCGATTCGCACACAATGCAGAATATGCTTATTTTTTCGAAACAGTTAACATTGCTTTATCACTATTAGAATTAATGTCTTGTTATGATTCCACTTTAGGGTAGACTGTACTATATTCTATTGTTTTTACAATGTAAGAATAGTTGGATAGAAATAAGGTTTACAACCATTCAACACAAACCAGGTCATTTCAGAACTAGCAGATAATACATTTATATTTCCACATTTCTGAGTTGCGGGAAATCGGAAGACCCAGAGAAATCATCTAAAAGTCTTTGGATTGAAACAACGCCACTTAAAACATAATTTATGCTCTAAAGCGCACGCATTAGACCATTCTGCCACCACCCCCCTTTAACTAGCGAGAATCATAGCTCTAGACCAACACGCCACAACCAGAAATTTTCGTGGTCCAGTTTTAAAATAGTTTATATAAGTAATGAATATCCGAAGATTTAATTGTGTTTTACTCAGCATATTATCATGTATGGATAACTTTATTTTGATTATTTCCAGATAACTGGATATAAGATTTTCTCTATGGACAAACCTGGCCAGTTAACAGATTTCTCAGACAAGTCCCCAGTATCAATAACTCCTGCCTGTTCTAAAATAGACTTCTGTCTCTATTACGTTTCTCCGGTTTTAAAGACAAGGTTCGTTCAAACATACAAGTAGTTTATACAGTCTCAAGTAAAGTTTGTGATCATTTAAAATGCATAACATATTTCAACTATGCGAACAAATCCGTCTTTAGATGTAAAAAAAGAAAGCAATTGGATTTTAAAGTTTCGCAAACACATTACTTCGTTCATTTTAAGACTAACATACGGTTATTTGTGGAGTATTTTGCCCGGGCAGCGGCGTACCAGCCTACCCTTCATCGAACTGCCAAGAAATATTTAGTGGACGGTAAATGTATTAAAAGACACATACTGTGGATAACAATTGCTTGATTTATTTTATGCTCTGTTTTTTCCCAAACTGAAGCTACGTTGGGACGTTGATTCTTGTTTCAAGGAAATGTTTGATGCTTGATAAATATATTAGAATCATCGTTGAAATGAGAAATCATGTACATACTAATGCTAATAAACCGGACAAAATAGGGTCCTATCTAAGAGAACACCAAATATATTGCAGAATGATTCAAATAAAACCAACTGAAATAGTATTATCACTAGGGTCCTTCGTTTGTTTTATCTCCAGCCATGTTAATGGTAGTTGGTCAGCCAGACTAACAATATATGATTAGGAATTCGTGTAATTTGATTTATTTTGAGATTATTAACTACTGACCTATATATTCTACCAACGCTGACTAGAGATTAAGATAGTTGAATATGGCCATTTATTTACAATTAAATGCAAATCAGAAATATCGGATCCTAATCTGTGATAAAACATATGATCTATAAACTATGAAGACATGGGGTCAAAACCATGAAATATATTCAAAATGAAAAATCATGGACCTTTGTTTTATGGAGTCTTAATGGGACACTTAAACATGTTTAGCTCTAATCAGCTTTCTGAACTGATCCAAACCCCAAAACTTGGATGATATAAAAGAGGTGAGACTCTACGTAGTGTTAACTTACATGTTGTATTTCTATATTTCTAGCCCCGAAGTAGTTATATTGGGCGAACTGTCCAAATGGGTTCCCGTTTCACCACAAAGAGTCCAAGAAATCAGCCAATCTGACGACATTATAATTACCATCACTGGAAAACAAAGTGAATCAGTAACATTCAGTTTTTCTGTAGACGGTGTTATCAGGTCTATTAACTGTGTATTAGGAAGTAGTGGTACTGCTCAGATACATGTAGAAGCTATGAAATGTTTGTCCAGTTAGAAAATAAAACTGTTAAAACATTATACGTTATTTTTTTTTGTCAGTCTTTTTTCCAGTTACCATTTACAATAAATTGAACGCTTCTGTTAATCTCGTTTCCATTACATTTTGTTATGTGGATAAACAATATGGATTTTTGTTGGTCATGCGAATCTAACAGATGGCTTGAATACAGTCTGTCAAAGACATAAATTCTTTATATGAGATGTGTTTCTGGATGATCTAGAAAGAGAAAGTATGATAACAACGGAAACTGAATCTAAAATTATGTTAAATTCACAACGAAAATATAATTGTGCACTTAAACTCCATTTCGATAAGCAGATTCGTTTCAAATTGGTCAATCGTTTGGGATCCAAACATTTATTCTTAAAATCTGTGGTTGCTTGACTTTGTTTGGGTATAACAACCACAAAACCAAGCATGGATTTGTATACGTTGGAGAGTACACAGGGATCATCTGTTATCTGTCATATCCCTATTAATAAATTTTCTGTAATAATATTTTTAAAAGTATATGACATTAACCTATGATCGATTTAACTTTAGAAACTAATGATGACAATATTCTGATATCTGTAGACGGTCTATATATTTTATGAAAAGGTTACCGTTTCAAATTTCGGAGCAAAACAGTAGGACGTTAAACCCCATTTCATTTCATTTCATTTCCGTTTCAAATTAATAAGCGAATTTGTCCTAGTATCATAAATCAAATAATATCAAATATAGATAGATATGTGACGTATATAAAAATAAATTACAGGTGTGTATTGAGTTAGATAAAATTTGTGTGTATGTTGAAATAAGAGATGATATTAATTATCAGTTTAATATTTACTGGTCATGGGATCGTATTAACTGATATAAATATCGTTATCATACCTAAATGTATCATCGGTGAATGAAACATTGTATCAGTACGGTTCGTTCAATTTTCTTTCATACTAAAGAGAGTTGAAGGACAATTAAAGAATCCGGATATTCCAAGATGGCGTATGAGAACTTTGGGTCGTTGCTACTTGTTACTGTTGCTTGCTGTGTATTTACAGGTGAGCATTGGCGGGATCTTTTGATCTGTATTTGTGATGTAAACGTAAAAGCTAATAAGTCATCAATCTTCGATGTATTATAATCTATTATTTCTATCGAGGTCTAAAGGAGGTAACAGCCATCGTGTGGTCAATAAATATACAAAGATACTTAGCATTACTATCTACACCCACCTTCATGTTTTGTAGTCCTTTGAATATAGCAAGTTTTATAGGTGCAAATTCTCTTCGGATGGAGATGTCTAATGATTCTTTAATTCTGTAATATACCGTAACATAACTATACACGTATATCGTCATACAGTAATCTAATCACAAGCCAGCTACCGTAAAAGATCAGAAACATCAATAAACAATTTCATTTTTGGTAGATACAATTTATATGATGTGTATTATTATGTGAATTTTATGAAATAAGGAATAAACACTTTCAGAATATTTATAAAACATCTTTTCAAAGATGGTCGAAATTCAGGAAGCTCAAACTTTTATAGGTGAGACAACTCAATAGAATACTGTGGTTTTATTTACTGGGCGACTTTTTAGTCTTTGTCAAGAAATTCATACGAGTATATATATACATCAACTTTGCTTCTTTAACGCAACGCATGGCTACCCGAATGTTTATCATTCAATTGTTGTTATTGTTGCTATACATACTCTCAATCTTTTCCAATTGTGGCATTTGGTTGACATAGACATAGAGACTCATTTTGATGGTAGACTCTAAAAAATGATATTATGATCGCTAAAGCACAAAAATCCTATATCATCTATAATAATATGTTGTAAAATTTCCAAACAAACATTTTGAATTGAATTTATTTAGAGTTTGAAATCATTTCCATTTAACTTTCGTCACATGAAAACACAATACTAAACACCATAAATATTAAAGACATAGGATTAAAAAAAAAGGTCCTAACATTGTAAGTTTTATCTTTGTTTTATTTTTCAATAACCATTTTAGTATGCCAAGCCGGGGCTGATTTTGAAGTACAGACCAGTCTTTCGGGGTACTTCTACATTAATGTAAAAGGACAAAACCAGTTTGTTATAAGTGATCTCTCCTATGTTGTCGTCAATGATAAACTGTACACCACAGATCAAACACTGATAATAGATCTAGGAAGTACCAAAAGAAGTATATATACAGATGATTTTGGAGACTGGAATGTTATAAGATATATTTATTATGCTGACACTGTTCCATTTGAATTCAGTATTAAGACCCACACCGTGAGACCAGTAGCAATATTCACTCAGGTATGCTAAATTTGGTTAGAAATTAATATAAAGGGGTCCCGTGTTCGATCTCTTTGTTGGCCGAGAAGGCCTTTGGGATTTTCCAACCTGGTTTCGATTTACCAATGGCCCAGGATAAGTGTCTAGTCTTTCGGATGGGATGAAGAAACAAGAACCCATGTATACAATTAACACGTCATTTTAAAATCTTATAGCAGGAATATAGCAAAGCAATGACTGGATCGAGGCGGAATGTAAGTGAAAAGTCTGGCAAGACCTTCATTAAAAAACAACAGTTTAAAAGCTTCCAGGTGATTAATATCATTTGTCAAAAAAAAGGTTTGATTTTTATAAATATTGATATGCATTACAAGTTGTTGTCTTTTTCCTAGAAATATTTGGTGGATGTAGAGGTAACAGCCGATACGAGTAATTTAACTATCAGCGGATATCCCAGTTTTCAAGTTCCATTTTACAACAAATATGGTTACCTATCTTTTGGTGGTAATTGGGCAGGAGATTCCTTAAAACAATCTGGCATGTGAGTTTTAAAATCAATTCTTTTCTCTTTTGTAGTTTCGAATAACTGCACACTGTACAATATCACAGACAAAATGAAATATCGTTAACCAAAAGAAAATAAAACTTATTTTATACATTATGTATATATTGTAATAAAGGGGTAGCATAATAGGGTGCTGATATTTGATTCATATACCAGCAAAGTTCAGGTTAGTGAAATATTAAATCGTGAAATATGTTTAGACTGCCTGTCGACGAATTAAAGTTGTGCTTGCCATTGCTCGAATTTACAAGTTACTGCAGTTAAAAACAGTTAAATTCGACATACTCCAATGGCTCAAGAATATACCCAAACAATGTATTGTGATATATAATTTCAGGTTTCAAGCCGGAACAGCTGATATTTTCGACGGATTAACCGGATCTGGGCCGTTGTGTGTTTTTGATAAAACTGGAAATGCCTTAGTTATCTCACCACTGAATAATTTTATGACAGCAAGCACCTTCTTTAGACAGAACAAGAGGTTACTAGAGGGAACCTTACATTACGGTATAAATGGTGCTGTGCATCATGTACCTGCCGGTTATGAACAACAGACTGTCGTCCATTACAGTTCCCAGGGAATCAATGCGGTATGTTAATATTAACAACATTAAGATTTTCGGATTAACTTACATTTGCAACTATCATCTGTGTATTAAATCATTGTATTATACTTTTTTGAAAAACTGATGGTCTATATCATTGAATGTTGAGAGTGAGTATTCTTAGCATTCAACATTCTAAAATATAAAGAAGTATTTATTGCTGTTATCTTCGGTTTTAAAAGTTATTTATTTCATTTTCTTTCAAACCAGGCTTTTGAAGACTGGGGAAACTTTTTAAGACAATGGTACAAGAAACCTTCCATGTCTGCTACTCCTGATCTCACTCTAGAATCGCTGGGATACTGGACGAATTATGGTGAGATGAGCTTTGTTTTAAATATTAATTAATATGTATATTGTTTTGTCACACGCAGTGTAAGTACAACTCTTAAATGTATAACTAGCATATATTATTTTAGTAAAAATAGCTGTATTGAATACACGTATTGTCTATAGAAAATATATATAACGCACCCATTAGTGTTCTTTTTTAAAAAGATTATTTTAAATACTTACCTAATAACAGATAATTTAATGTCATTAAATCAAATTGTTTTTTATTCATTAGGTTCATATTATTATAACAATGTACCTACTAACTCTACATATGAAGATGTTGTACTATTAGTACAGTCTCAGCAGTTTCCACAAGTTCCTTTGAAGTGAGTATAGTATGTTTAATTGTAGTCTTCACAGTATTGAAGATGCATCACTTATCATATCGAATTTCCTTTAAATTGTATATCCACATAGGTACTAATTGGTAATAATAGGGGCTAACTGGTTTCGGTTTAAAATCTCCCCAAACCAGATCTATTATAGCCTTGGTTTAAATCATTCGGTTTATGTTGGGCATAATATGGTTGATAAGAGCATTCTAAAATGGGGATCGGTGTAACTACATATTGTTTATGAAACTTGCACAATGACATATAATACACATATATTAAGTGGTAATCGAAGATAAAACGAAAGTCAAATTACTGAGACAATAACTTGGTAAAATTCTAAATCGAATGGGGTTTAACGTCTCAATCATTTCTATATGGTTACATATAAAATGAAATGGGCGATTACAACTGGGAAGGGTCTCTTAAGTGCACGAAACTATGTACACGAGTGAACCTCAGTTTTTTCGTCCCATCTGAACGAACATTGTCAACTCCCATGCGCCAGCCCTACATATTAAAACCTGGCAAGACAACCCTTGAACCTCTTGCGGGCCCATTTCGGGACCTTACAGTCCCGTGATCACACTTCGAATAGGAAATTATCCGGAAATAATACACGACAGTAAAGGTATATTAGGTGTTCCGGGCGGTGTAGTTATAAGCTGTACAGTCTCAAGCACAATAATTATAAATTATTGCTTGTGTTTTATTATTATTTAAGATATATTGAACTGGATAATTGGTGAAATCAAAGGGATAGTAACGGTATGTTATCATGGAAACCAGATAATAAATCTCTTCCTAACGGTTTTAGGTAAGTATTCTATAGATTAGACTTCGATTTTTGAGATATTTTGTGAAGATAGTGGTATACTCGGATGCTTCTCTATGAATTTTGAATGATATTAAAATACAGGATTAAATGTAAGATTGTTGATGTTCATTCCAGAATTATAAACGATCAACTGCATATTCAAACAGCTTTAAAATCTGGCAAATGGTGAGTATTTAATATTATAAAATATTGTTTATTCTTTTATTTAGAATTTGACAGTTTTATGCCTGTAGACATTTGTGGTCAAATTGCGTGGGTCAAATTATTTTTCGTATTGATCCATTTAATGACGAAACGCATTAAACTTTATATTTGATATCAGCTTTTAGTTGAAAACATGTTTATTTCCATCGATATTACCACTTACTGCAGAACTTATCTTCTTGGAGCCTTGTTTAATAATGGATGCCTACCTTCCTATGATCGCCGATATTATAACATTTACCCTTAAAGTTATTGGTGGGCAAAGTGATTAAAGTTCCATATTAATTAGATTCTATATATTATAGGTCACCAAAGAATATTTATTCCACGTTGAATGGAGGAAAATATAATTTTGTTACGTCCAAAACAAGTTCTATTCCTACTGAGGAGGTAACTATTCGATAATGCCAAATCAAAACTGTGAAATGGATATACATGTATAGTAATTTCTGTATATGGTTACTATATTCTTGAACATAAACATCAGTTATAAATTCTTTAAAAGAAATGGGTATTTTATTCTTAATTCTCAATACAAACTTATAATATATTATTAATAAATAAAATAGTACAGTATTCTTCAAATAGTGAAAAAAAATTAAATTAATTCAAAATATAAATTGTTAAATTTTTATGTTTCAGAAATTTTGGGATGATATATTTAATATGAGTAAAACTATGGGTATGAAGATGATGATACAGGTAAGACATAGGTAAACTAGGTAGATTTAAAATGGAGGAGTTGACATATTATCAGCTATAGAGATGATTTAATAGCCAATAGGAACAGATGCAATAGTTAAAGAACTAATTTTCGTGAATATGTATTTTATAAGTTTCAACCAATGACTGTATAGTCACCAATTTTAAAGGCGCGCTGCTTTTCAACATTCAACAATGGATAGTGCATTTCAGATTGTCAACAAACACCACAGTAACAGCCCATCAGGCGTAGTGTTTATATGTTTCCCCTGTGGGTCATGCCTGAGATATTCACTTATGTTAACGTTCTACTATTATGGCGTCGGTAATCGATATAGCTTAATGGCATACTGTAAATTTTGACATACTTCTAATAGTTAAAACTAATTTAGCCCAAGACAAACCACCACTATATTGGCTAAAAGACAATCCAGGTGAAATTGATACAAATTTGTTCCGTAGTGTTAAAAAAGTTTTAAAATATCAACCTTTTCAATTGTTTCTCTATTTAAAATGTCCAGTCTGGCAGCTTCTTTAAAACCATAATCTGTTTTTATTAGGATGATTTGATAGATCAGATGATGACTGTTGATGAATTGAGATCCAATCTAACACTGGGACGTCAATGGTTAATGGCAATGGGTAAATCAGCTGAACGTAATGGTATGCCTATTCAGTATTCTAATGCTTGGCCAAGTCATATTTTACAATCTTTAGAAATACCCGCAGTTACACAGGTAATGTCTAAAAATGTATTCTACCAAGTTGCTTTATACATATTGATCCATTTATATTTAAGTAGAAATAAGTGTCTGATTCTTACGTAACACCTTATACCACTTCTCGTATAGCAAACTCACTGGTGTGTTACTCTTGTCATCTTAGCTATATGGGGGGTTGGATGGCCGAATGGTTAGCGCGTGGACGTTGTATCACAAGGTCTGTCATTGAGTCAACTGGCATGGGTTCAATTCCTCGGTTGTACGTGACAAGGAGTAGGTCGCCTGTCCAACCTCGTGGGTTTTCTCCGGGGCCTCCGGTTTCCTCCGACTGCTAAAGACAGCTACGCACGCCAATTATTGTAATAAAATTTTAAAAAATGTTAGTCCCGGAATGACCTAGTTTGTGTCGAGTGGACGTTAAACTCCATTTTTCTCTCCCACCCCACCCCTTAGCTATATAATATGACAAAGAAGTTACACATCCTCCTTAAGGACAGGCATACTAGTTAAATTATTAATCGACAAGCATTTATGTTTATGAATGAATCATGATATTAAATAAAAGTATTAGAAAATATTGTTTTTATTGCAGGTCAGAGTAAGTGGTAATTATATGCAACAAGCAGATCAATGGAAGATTGGTATAACATCTATTCTAGTCAATGCTTTAGGACTGGCACCATCTAAAGATACATTCTGGACTCTGGAACAAGAATCGGGAAATAAATATAGTAAGTGATAAAGTTTTTTTAACTTACCAACACGAAAATTCAAACTTATTATTAAACTAAACATATCAGTCCCAAACAACTATCGAAACCCTGCTCATTCAACGAAATTACATATAAATTATCAGTTGGAGTTAGAGAACAAGTTCTTGACTAGCGATACCCTTGTATGGATGCAGTCTTGACATCCTAGCTGAATTATAAAACAAGCCAATCTTACTTTCAGATTCTACCGAAAAGAGACCCCAGCTTCAGAATTTAATGGCTACATTAAGCAATGGACCAGTTGGATTTGGTGATAGTGTTAGTTATAACAACGAAAGCTTCGCTGCTCGTCAGTAAGTACACCTATTAAATTCAGCGTCAACAATAATCTTAGTTTATATTTTTCATTTCAAATTGGTATCCAGGGACTTGTTTCACGAAATTTTAACTAAGATAAAATCCAAAATTTAGTAATTTGATTGGATAATATTAGATTGATTGCAGTGCTTAGCCAATCAAAATTTAGGTATCTACTAAAATTGGATTTTATCTTTAGTTAAACTTTCGAGAAACAGGGCCCAGGTCCTGATATAGTGCCGATTTTTCACATATTCGGATTAAATACTTTCCTGTGTAACAACTTACTGAAGTCAGTAATATAAAGGACAATATTGGTGTCTGTCATTATCACACATGTGATAGAACATTGCTACGATAGATGTGTAATGAAGGTTTCAACCAAAGGAAGTGACGAATGCAAAAGGAAAACATAAATTCAGTAATAGCTAATCATCTTCCTACATTTCTTACAGATGTTGTCGTGAAGATGGAGTAGTGTTAAGATCAGGTCGTCCATTAACAACTACCGACGCCCAGATACAAAAGGTACTGGTTATTCGAACAATTTCGCGACTTGTTCGTATTTTCTACTACATTGGATCTGTTGGAGTAGTGAGGTTGGAGGTGTTCTTAAAAACGGATTTCTACTCAATGTGGCGAGCAGAGGCGTAGCCGTGAAATATATATGGGGGGGGGGGCGCAATCCTAACCCCTAACCCTAATCCTATTTTAAAACCCCTAAAAAATATAAACAAACACCATGTGGCCATGCTGTCTACACAACTCGTTTGCTGATTGGCCCACCACGTGCAAAGTATTATGGTTACGTGGCTGGCTGAGCGGGCGATAAATATTTGGTTTAGGCGATAATGTTTTGAGGTACCAACATGCGATTCACTCTGATAAGTGGCAGAAAAAAATTAACTAGACACAATTTTATGAAACACAGTTACTTTTCACTTCACACATGTTTCAAGGATGATTCTCTCTGTGTTTTATTTTAGCAATGTAAACCATATTGGGATATGTACAGGTTTTATACAGATAGAATCTTAACTAACCTTAATAATTGTTGTAAATAAATAGGAGTTAGGGTCTACTATGTACATTTTTTGAGGGGTCGGATCCCCCCCCCCCCCATGAGTGACGCCCATGGTGGCGAGTGATGCCATTCCAAAATAGTCTTTGATTGGCATGATGGTTTTGAAATGACACAAGTCTTTCATCAGACGCTGTGCACTAAAGAAGGTCGCAGAATTTGTAGAATATATTGCGAGAATTACCTAGATTCAAGGATTATTGTAGTAAATGGTTTTAGTGATTCTGATCGGATTCTGTTCGATTATGGGTAACATAATATTCAAAAATGTATATCCGAACACAGAATGGTAGGAAATACCATAACAAATGTGAACAAAGTTGTGTTTGATTGATTGTTAATCCTATCTTTATAACAAACAGTTATGACATAAATTACTTTTGTAAACCTGGACAAAGTTTGGTTAGAAGTTTGGCTGTGTTATTTGATATGTCTCTTGTATTACAGATGGCATATAATATATCAACAATACCTTCAGGCGAGATGATGTCTACTACTACAACCATAGGTAATCTAACATTCGGTACCATCACCGTGGTAGATGCTAGCGACGTCACTCTTACACCATCTTTCGCTTTTAATAAAAATGTAAGTATACAGTTTGTTGGGCTTGTGGTTTTAGTATCGATGATGTAAACACCCGACTCGTATGCCTATAGAACAAAGATGAAAGCACCATGCCGTGGTCATTGTTGTCTTCCAAACTGAGCAATCTTATCTCTATATGTATCTCTGCATACACTTACTTATTTGTTACCCAAAGTTTAAATTGAAGCCAGTGGAAATAACCGAGAACACATAGACTGCAAAGACTGCGACTAAAGCTTTCCACGTTTCCATTCTTCACGAACACATTATTGAGATCAAAATTAAAGTAGGCCTTTAAGAGTATACTGGATCATGGTAGTCCTATATAGCCATATGAATAGAAACCATTGAGTCGGTCGCCGCCACTATGATTGTACGTGCATCCTACAGAAATCTGTCAAATTCTCCGTAGTTATCCTTTTTATCATGTTCTATCTAAATATCAGGGGCCTTATTCACAAAATTTTAACTAAGATAAAATCAAAATTTTAGTTATTTGATTGGATAATATTAGATTGATTTTAGTGTTTAGCCAATCAAAACTGAAGTATCTACTAAAATTTGGATTTTATCTTTAGTTAAGATTTCTTGAATCAGGGCCCAGACTTTTCGGGTATTGATATTTCTGTGCTGTTACCAATTTCGAAGTCAAATAATATCTTGATTTATCAGATTGTTTGTACGTAATCATTTGATAGATTATTATTTACTTTTAATGTTTCACCTTTATTTTCAGTTTACATACGACAGTGTGATATATATTCATTATTCATTTGCTACTCTGTTTCCATTCAGTGAAACGAATTCGTTTAGATTGAACGAATGTGGAAGTCAGCCGCCATATTTTTGTTTAGCGTTTACGTCACCCTCTATACACCACAGGTAAGGACCAGTCTATTCGAGTCTTATGTAATGCCTGTATAATCAAGGCAAACTGCGATTCTCATTTCATTGGTCGATTAATAAAATCCGAATGCATCAACAGTTGATCTACAAAAGAACAACAGACGTTTGTAAACACGGCACTAAACGGCACACAGAAGAGGTGGTTTGAAAAAGAAAGAGAAGATCTACGATCTGAATTTCAAAAGGCCGAATTTATACTTTAGAAGATTCGGATATAGGTTCGGTCGAAGACCACCAATAGAAACACATATTTGATACTAGAAACGCTTGTCGACATGTCTATTTTAGAACATGTAAACTTGCATCAAATGCTAGATTTTACAGGAAGATTAGGGGTAAACAAGGTTTAATTGGAAAACTTAAACTGTGATTAACCGCAGCAGACTTTTGGAATACGGGCCTTATACGGGCTCGATCAAAGAAAACACCGGCGTCTCTAGACCAACTCGGTACCTCAACATCGTTCCGTTCTACTCAACTAAGCCTTGGGTCCATTCACGGGATTTTCGGGTTGATTCTACGAACTAATCAAAAAACAGTTTACGTACCAGTCTTAGCTAGACCACCGACGTTTTGACTATAGAAATTAGGATCACTGACTTTAAATAAGTGTTAGCTGATGCTAATAATAGCTTATGGGGTTAGGGTTAAAAATCGCGGTGGTCGAAATGGATGTATCCAAAACGTTGTACATACGTGTCTAGTGTATCCAATATTTGAATACTTTTGAAGTCGATACGTTTTTTTTTTTACAGGATTGGACAGATCAACATATTAGGCGAACCAAATAAATGGGCTCCTATATCCCCACAAAGAATAGTAGATATTACTATCAACAATGACGTCATCGTTGCCGTTAAAGGGAAGCCTGGTTACCAAGGAGAGTTTGCTTATGCAATAAATGGGGTTGCAAAATTTACTACATTTATTATTCAAGAAAATGGATATGCTACGATAAATATTACCGGTCCTACCTTTACCACAACACCAAAATCAATAGTTAATTCATCTCCAATTTTACCTGCCGTCACCACAGACAGTTCAGCAGCAACACTTAAATATTCTTTGATATTTTATACTTTAATATTTATATCGAACTATTTATAGAACTACTATTACAAGTGATATCCTTTAATTCCAGTTGTTTTTGTTTTTTTGTCAATAAAACCAATGTGTTCCCTTTATTGCCTCTTGAAAATCGCCATTTTAAAAATTATGTATACACTTCAATGGCTCTTTTACGTGCAAGCCATCGTTTATACGGGACCTTGCTTTTTTTCTGCCACCCGACGATTAGACGGCGTTCCTTGCATCGCTGACAAAGGAAGGCCAATTTGAAGATTTCTCAGTCAACACCTATTACCACACAATTCTTCATAGACTAACAAACGCCTCCAGTGAAATATCCAGGGATTTGATAAACATTTCCATAACAGAGAGAGATCGACAGAGAGAGAGAGAGAGAGAGAGAGAGAGAGAGGGGTCATTTCGTGACTAACACATCGTTCGATTTTATTACAATAATTCGCTTGCGTGTAGGGGCCTTTAGCAGTGGGAGGAAACCTGAGGGCCCAGAGAAAACCCACGAGGTTAGACAGGCGATCCTACTCCTTATCACGTACAACCGGGGAATCGAAACGACGCCAGCTGACTCAATGACAGACCTTATGATTCTGCTCGCAGGTGCTAACTATTCGGCCACCCCATTTCCATAACTTGATATATCAATGGTAATACAATATCCCAGATTCAAAATAAATTCGATACCGACGAAATATTAGGTTGACACGACTGTCCCATTGAGTTTTATTTCGGGTTGTCTAGTCTCCTCCTAAACGAATAACTGTTTAACCAATGCAATCAGACCAAAACCTAAGAATTGTATCAAAATGTGTATGTAGAGAGATAACACATTCCACGCCTAAATAAAATATGAACTTTATTAAGTGTTTGGGCATTTATATTTTATAGAGTTTGATTTACAGCTGTTGTGCATGTCTAAAATGTGCTTGCGTTCAGAACAGTTTTTTTTTTAATATTTTTAATCTGCTGTAACAGGCATATGCGTTTAACCTTTACCCCAAAAAAACTCCGTTGACATGAATTTAAAGTTAATAACACAATAACCGTTAGTTGATATAAGTTTTTATTATAACGTGTTTTACTCTATTGTAATTAATGTAACGCAATAACAACGAAATCCTATATTCTTAAAAGAGAGTAGGCAACAAATTTTGACATTGGAAAACCCATAGATTTCACTGTGTATATTTTTCAGAAATAACAGATGCAATTGCTCTTCCTTGTGACTGCCAAAACAACCAGCAAGTTTGAAACGGCCAAAGTTGAAGGACGCTTGCATATGACACTAAGTCTTCCCAGGATTATAATCAGCAGAAACATCCAAGCACGATCACACTGACATAGAGTTAATATAAGAAATTGGACAGTCCGTACGACTACAATAAACTGCCGCGTTAAGATTTTTTTATAAAACTTCAAAGTTTCAAAATTACGGCCTCTCGGGGAAATTTATAACCTTTTGGAACAGGAAATACAAACATATGACAAGTTATCACAGTATCGACAAATGAATAAGTAAACATATATATTATTACAAGTCTTAACAATTTTTTTTTTAACACAACATTTCGTGTAATATTGGTATTGTCACTACTTCAAGGGTTTTCAAATAGACATACCGTTGGTTTTTTAACGGTTTTGCAAAAGTGAATCCAGAATTATTACCCATTACGTTACAGGCACTCTACATAATTACAAGTCAGTTACAGGCCTGTAACTCCCTTAATTTCCAATTAATCTGGTCCCCAAAGGTACTACATGTAGTTAATTAATACACATATAAAGCGAAACCTTGTCGTACAATTATCTTAGTATGAGCAGTGGGACCGCACCACATATAAACAATTACACAAGACTAGCCCACGGGCAGGACATAATAGACATAAACATTTCAAAATATAAACAGAGAGATAGAGAAATGGGGTTTAACGTCCACTCGACACAAAATAGGTCATTTCGGGACTAACATATAGTTTAATTTTATTTCAATAATTCGCTTACTCTGACCTGCAATAAAAATAATATTTTCTAAACGTAACTTATATAGCTAAGGGTTGGGGGGGGGGGAGAAGTGGGGTTTAACGTCCACTCGACACAAACTAGGTCATTCCGGGACTACCGTGTGTTTTAATTTTATTTCAATAATTCGCTTGCGCGTAGGTGTCTTTAGCAGTGAGAGGAAACCGGAGGGCCCGGAGAAAACCCACGAGGTTGGACAGGCTCCCCTACTCCTTGTCACGTACAACCGGGGATTCGAAACCATGCCAGTTGACTCAATGACAGGCCGTATGATATAGCGCGCGCGTGTAAACAATATTGCAGCTTATCGCACTCTTATCTAGCAGCTTCCTTCCTTTTTGTTATTGGTTTGTTTTTTTTTTGGGGGGGGGGGGGTGCGGGTGGGGGGTGAATTTAGTCAGTTTGTGCAGCCAAAACTGTATCTGGTGCAAACATTCTGTCAACGTAGATGTTGTTAAGGTCCGTGGATCAATTTATCAAATATAAATTGGATCCTTTTTGACAAACAGGAAGTGTTTTACGGATCAGACAAAAAATAATATTAGATTCTTCATATCTCGATTGTTTCTCAATGGATCTTGGTCGGGTTTTCATTTTTGGATTCTTTGGACGAATCCCATAAAATGTTCTCTGACGGACGTTTTTTTCGAAATTCGGAATTTCGCTCGATTACATTTAGCACGAAAGATTTACGAAAGTTTTCTTAGTCATTTTTTCGACATTTAAGATGGCGTATATCCGTCACTATTTGGTGTATCAACTTCTTTTGGTTTGAACCTATTCCAAAAGGCAACAATCCTTAGGGAGCCGATTTTTTTAATTTTGATTTCGTTTACTTCCGGTTTCACTTTGAATTTTCTTCGACTTTTCAACTTCTATCTAGTGACCTAACCTTTTAATAGCCCTTGACCATTTCATATGTGATGAAATGAACCCAGTGTCTACAAACAATTGATATCAAAATATACGGTCTTGAAGTATAACTTCCGGTTTTATTAAGAGCAAAAAGACAGGGTTTCCCACTTTAATAGGTATTGGATCTTACTATACTCAATAATGCATGGTGACAAGGCGTGACAAGGCGTGACCTGATCTACCAAAAAACGTCAGTACTCTTTGGAGTAGTAATTATTATAGGGATAAAGATCACCATTGGATGAAGAGTCTTATTGCACATTTCTAGAAACAACTTATCATTAAATGTGTACGTTTACATAACTCATAACTTGTGTATCTATCAGGGAAATATATGGTATCTGTTTTGTCCATACTTTACATTAATAAAGTCAACAATCATAAATAACTCAATACATACTAATAAAAAATTAGAAAAAGTTATTGTTGACTGTTCTGTTGAAACGAGAAGAGATGAAGAGTAAAATAAATTAAACAGGGGTTGTAAAAATGCCTTGCTAGAATTACCCCAGTGCTAGGGTTTTAGTTATTTAGTTATGTGCAAGATTATTTTAAAATGATATTATACAACATTTGCTATTTTATTTTAATAGTCGTCGCGATTATATTGCTCTAATAAAAATTTGTGAAGTAAGCAGTAAATTTTGTGATTGGTTCATATTGATCAGCAGTTCTTATATTTTGTTTCCTTTTCAACCACTATATAAACACCATTTCTTGCTACTTCTTCCTGGTCTCGAAGACGGGCTATATTCTGCCAGAGCTATCAGGTAAGCACATGATTAACTGATGCGCCTTAATATTTTTTATCATATTTATGCTTAACAAATCTATCAATCTTTACAAATTTGCAACAGAGTTTACATTTAATTTATTTTATTTATTTTCAAAAACGGACATTAAACTGTGGAAACGATAAAATTTCGGGAAATTCTTTTGATCCATATACACACATTTTCCAAGAGGTAGGTACCATACTACATATTCTACATCACGCATTCTACGGCCATGACTACGAGTTGTCTTTTACTTTCTGTTAAATTGACCAGCAATCCTGTCACGTTGCAAATGGATATGTGATGTCTAGTAATTAAAGAAACTATAAGTCAAACATTATTTAAATAGATTTGTTGAAATGACCGTAGCACACTCGCCGTCTTCGGGAAATTTTTGTTAACGATTTATGGTTGTTACAGAAAGGAAGCAAATGAGAAATAATTATGAGGTCCGAACAAAACAGCTATACTTGACAATACACGTTTATTCGAATGAATCCTACTAATTTGTCCCCTGGCCATTTGCTTTAAGTGGTATTTTTATCTTATCAGGTTTCAAGCATGAATATTTCTGTAGTACTACTAGTGTTCTTCCTTGTAAACACTGTTCATTGCCAGATCAATTCCCAGGTATGATTTTAATTTTTGTGCGTCTCCATTTTTTAGTTAAAATAGTCTGCCTATAGATAATTTAGTTTTAATTATAATGATTTTTATTGATGTTAAATACAAAATAACTGAAAATACCCTTTGACGACCAGGGTGTCCTAATCCCAGTGGTATAGGTCCGATCAAATTTGATTAACCCAAGTAACATACCAACCACATTTCGTTGAAACTGAAAATATCTAAATTAGCCCACTTAATGGATTAAAATCCATTACGTGGTTTACTAACAGTGGTGGCACAGCGCAACACAATTTTAGTTAATATTATCTGGCAGCTTATTTGTGAAAAGAATAAACACGAAACCACATTTCCTTCTATAATCAGTTTAAATATGTTTATTTCTAAATTAATATCAATTAAAATATTTTATAAACTAAGTAGTCTGTGTCCCCAAAGACACTGTAACGTCTGGGTATATAATTCGTATATTGTCTCATCATTTCATACCACCGAGAGCTATTGATGACTTTTTATTTAATTCGTATATTGTCTCATCATTTCATACCACCGAGAGCTATTGTTGACTTTTTATTTAAATGAACTAGCTAGTGCTGAAATATTATTTTACCATTTTCTTTGTTGTA